CATTTTATTTGTCCCACTTTTTTGTTCCATACAAATAGAAGTCCTTTTCCTAACCTCATTCAGTATGGGTCCTAAAAAATCATTATTTTGTCCATTTGTTTGATATGCTTCCCATACACATATTTTCAAATCGCATTTTTTAAAGTAAATTTGCAATTCCCATTTTTGGAAGCTTCCTTCCCAACAAACCACGCTTATCTCCAGTTTATGAATTTTCTTCCTAAAAACATATTGCTCATTCATCTTGCTGTTTTTATTCAAGATCTCTCACTTTTTGTTTTTGTTCACACACACCCCCCTCCCTCCCACCCGAAATTACAGTTGCACTGATAAAATTTAGCCCAAAAAAGGGTGCCGGTACTGCATACCACACAAAAAAAAACAGCCCTGCGTCTGTGTAAGTATGGACCTAGCACCATATACCAAATTCAGCTCTGGCCTAGTAATGGTCGTGAGAAGAAGAGTGCAACTAATTCTTGGGCTGGAGACATAATTGTGGATTTAAGTTTGTTAGTGTAGTGAGCCGCGTTAGCACAGTCGATAGGAGGCTTGCTTTCAAATACAGCTGCGACTCGCTGCAGTCACGGTCGATGTTCGAAACCGGTCGGTTCCCAGGGTTCACCCAGCCTCTAGGAAATGGGTACCAGAGTGACACACTGGGTTAAATGTGGGAACGTTGCTGTAGCTACAGAGTTACGTGCGGACGGCGACACAGGCGGACGGTTTCTTATCAGCTGTCCGTACTGGTGGCAGAGCACTTATGGTTTATAACCGTGTGCAATGGCGCTGGTTCACATCTCCTGACTTTACCTTTACTAGGTAATTATTATATATAGTTATAGAAACCTGTAGTAGAATGTCTGGTCATGAAACTTTGTCCGATGAAAATGGTCCTTGTGGGAAAAACAGTTTGAGAATTCACAGTTCAGGGACACACTTCTACATTCAACCTAATAAGGACAGATAGCTAATTGGGTTGTGGTTTACTGTAGGTATCTTCCTTTCTGCAAAACCATAGTCACTTTGGTTGTCAAGCTTATTGAGGCGCAATAGGTCTATCCCCCCCTCAAATGGGTTAACGAAACAATAAACAGCATTGTGGCTTGGAGAATTTAGGAGCAGCTCCTCCTGTCTCAAAGGTGTATTAACTTGTGGATATACAAAGAAGAAGAACCATTAGACAACAAAGTCGTACCCAGATTTAAGCCTCCAGAAAGAAATCCAGAAAGCAGTGGCAAACTACTGAATGTAAATCTTACTAGAAAAACTACAACAGCTAAAAGATGCTGGGTTAATTCTGCAACGTCCTATAAAACTGACAACCTAGAAATGGACTGGAAAGTAAGGGCGGTTGGCTTGGTGCCCACCCACGAAGTGCCGATTGGTCTAACCCTGTATGCCCAGTACGCCTGAAGGGGTGAAAAAGGTTACCAGAAATGGAGGTTAGGCTACACTGAATAACCATATAATAGACTGCGTTGGTTTGGGCAATTAGAGAGAATGACAGATGACAGAGACAAGAACTGCATACACAAAACAGTTGAATGGGAGAAGACCACAAGGAAGACCAAGAAAACTGTGAAAAGATAATAAACATGCAGACCTAAAACAACTCGGAGTCGCCAGCTCTAAAAAGGAGGCTGGTTGCTGAGAGTTGATGGTGGGTGATATCTGCAGCAATGAAACTTGAACAAGGTTCAAAATGCTGAAGAAGAAGCACACATGTTTTTATCATTCTCTTGTACTCTATGGATGCTAATCAGTGTATATGAATGTATTCTCATGTTGTATCGGTGATCCCTGGGGTTACCCATTGTTTCATATTTCTGTGTATTACATTAATAAAATTAAACCAGCCCTCTGGTTTCTGATTTGTTTGTTTTATTTGAACTTTACTAAGTGAACACATACATGAACACATAAATAAAGAAGATCACCTATATCAGTTGGTTGGAACCTATGTAGTACAGTGGCTAGACGCTTGCCTGCCAGCGCTGGTCTAGGGTTTAAATCTTAATCAAATTAGATTTTCTTCGACATTGGCTTAGCTTCCTGGTCAACCCAGCCTAAAACTGGGTGATTTGGTGGAAAGTCAAGGAGTTAGCATGATGTTGATCTCATCTTTGGGTCTGTACAAAAATAGGTTTAGCACTACATGCCCGATGTACCTATGGTATAAGAAGGGTCCTTTTACATCAGTTGATTGCCTGAAAACTAAAGAAGATAAAATGTTGTCCAAGAATTATGGTCGCAGTATATGAAAGACTCCTGCAGTGATTCACATGAGGAACAGTTTGATGTTTTCAGTAGCAACGAATGACTAGCAGGCACTGCTGCATCTTTCCAGGCAGTTCTGCTATAGGGAGGCATGAGAACCACAAACCTTGGGGTTGGCCAGAGTGAGGGTCAAGACCAGCCTGTGTTGAGAATAAGAAGTTTTCCACAATATATGTATGGGATTTCAGGACCAATGTCGGTATCACATATTTTTTAGATGTTCTTCTCAAATGCTCAGTTCTTAACCCATCTGTGACCCTCGTCTCCTTTGTTCCTTCATTTCTGAATTTTACCCTGACCGTGGCATCCTGTTCCAATGAATCCACATTAATACCTGTATCATTCTTGTCCCACTTGCACGCCTCTTTAAATCATAGTAAATGGCAACCTGTGAGGTCTTATACCTATCTGTTATTCATTCTAGAGGATGACCTTAGGGTCTCTACTATCCTCCAAGTGTGGCCTAAACATCTGAACCTTCCAAGACCTAGCATTGAGAAAACTGTAATAATGAATGACCACTGGCTGAATATTGATGTTCAGCGTGTCCTTAACCCACTTCTGCTTAACAAGCATGTTCTAGAAGGTGACCGAGGATTTGCTGAAATTAGATGTGTTTTTCAAAAGGAGCTGATATCACAGCCTATGTGTACAACACAGCATTTAAAGAGCAAGCATAGAAGCAGAAGGGACAGTGACTGGGCGGCCAATGTTTCTAAAGGTTCAAGATGTCTTGTACAGGACTGGTTTTTTTTTTATATGCCCTGGTTATAGATGCCAAATATCCAGTCTGTTACAGTTTATAACATCAGTATAGTTGTGAAAACCATGCCAGTAATTAACCCTTACTCTTTAGCAGTCAAATTAACATTCAGAGATTACCCAATCACTAATCTTTATGTTCTTACAAGATGTCTGCATGAAGTTAAACTTAGCAAACAATATAGAATTGGTTTGATCACTTTTATTATAAAGTAGCAGTACCTTAGTACTGTATTAAAAACACACTCATTGAACAGTGAAAGTAAATGTTGTTGACAGAGTAATAAAATGTGAAACTAAACTAAAAGTGAAAAGCCAAAGACAATGTTTCTCTGCCATCCTATTGGGTGAGTGGTATACAAACTTTGTCCTGTCTCTGGTTGACTACAGGCTCAGTATTCTGACACCAATGGAACCCATTGTGAGTGGTTGTGTACAAACCCACCTAGTGTCGATTGGTCTGTAAAGATATGGGTGCTCTTCCCATTTGCCTTATGTGCCTAAAGACATGAAAAGGGATCTTTACTTTACTTACTCCTTGGGCCTGTGATTCTCAACACCTGCGAGTGAAAGTTAACAAAAGGTGTCACGTTTCTCTGTCTCATACGACCACCAGATTCACGGAAATGATTGCATTTTCAAGTTTATTGTTTGTAAAGGACATTACAGACCTGTTTTATTCTTTTGATCATCAAAAAGGGAAACACTCCTGTGTCACTGCCTAATGAGGTGGAGGGACCAGTCCCCTTTCTGACATTTTCTGCACTCAACTCTGAGACAAGCAAATATCTCATCACTCACTGCTCAAGTTCAGAGCCATCATTTGGCTCTACATGCATTTCATTATGCTTGTTTATTTCCGGTGGTCACACACATGTCAGAGATTCAAGTGGCCAGATAGATATGTGATTCCTCTTAGAGACACTTCAGTTAAGTGATTTTGGGTATTCCTGTTTGTGATATTGTATATTCACTTAATGAGCTGACGAAGGCTTTCCAGCCACAATGTTCACTTGTCATTTGTGCCTGTGATAATGTCAAGCGTACTATTTCTACTTTTCGTTTTATCTGATATCTTTTTATGCATTCCATTAATGCGTGCATGCTATTTTGTTCTGTCTCATGTAAAGAGGAAAAAAAAGCTTTCTTTATTGGTTGTATTTACCACTTCTTCAGTGTAGGCAGCCATTGAGCCTGAGGATTTAGGGCTGCATGTCTAATGCTGCTGTCACCATGGACTGTGCAGGTTAAGATTTTCTTTTTGCTTCCAAAAGAAAAATCCTCAACCTTACTGAAGGTTCAAACCCAGCACGAGAGGCCTGTGTTCTTAACCTTTCAGCCAGCCATTAATCTCTGCCATATGTACTGCACAATAATTTATGATTATGCCCCCCCCCCCCCCCCCCCATTCTAATAATGCCAAACTGTATCTCCCCAACCTCTCTTCCCCTCTGATTTTCCTGTGGACACAATTTACTCATTTGCCTCTTCTGTCGATGTGCTCAAAGAATGTGGACTGTCTTCTTCTAATACTAGTAACCAGTTCTCCTTAGAAACAATTATAATTATGCTTTTTATCTGTCCATTTCAGTTAATAGATGATACCCAAAAAAAAAAAAGTCTTAAAAGAAAAAGAACCAATTCTAAAACTACATACAAGGACAGCAAATCAAATGGTTTGCCCACTTAGATTGCCTTGTGAGGCCCTACCCTACAAGGCCTACACCAAAAGAAGAAAAGAACATGGAGCGTGAGGTAGACCAAGTACAGAGGAAAGATAACGTCAGAGAAACTCTACAACACCACGATGTGTCTATGGTCAAGGCAGCCAGAAGAGCAAGAAGCAGGACCTTATATCTCCCTCGACACCTGAAGCAGTGAGAGTGGAAGTGAAGAAGAAGAAGTAGATTGCTTTTTATGAATACATTTTAAATTTATAAATCTAAATTATGAAACCTATATTATGGCTGCTGAATTAGCTGAAGATCCTCAGCATCAGGCTTATCTGGCAAATCACCGGCATGTAAACGTAACTGGGGTATAAGTGGCATGGTGCCGTCTCTTTCATCTTTCGTCAGGCTATTCAAAATATCATCGACTAACGGCTTTGAGGATGAGTTCAGTCGTAGAGTTTCAGGTGAAATCTGATTGGCCCGATGAAGCTGAGTGCGAAGAAATTCTACTTCCCTGGCCAGCAGATGGCGCTCTCGGCAAACCTGACTGTACTTGGTTAATGTTTCAACAAGCTGTGGAAAGAATTGAATATGAAATAAAGTGCATGAGAAAAGAAGTTTCAAAACAGATATCAATATCCAAATGAATGCATCCATTCATGAGCTGAGCTTTGTCTATATCATGATTTAAAACTCAAAAAATTAGCTCTAGTTGCTTCTATTATCTCTTTGATTTCTAGTAATCTGTTACTCTGTGTGTGTATGCGTGCATGGGTGTGGTTTTTCTTCTTCTCATATTATATCAAAAAAATTATGCTGACTGCTTCTATATGAGAATGTGATGAGTTGTCTCAGTTAGTTGGGTTATCCTCATTGCACTCCGGACATGTCCATAGGTGCTCAGATCCTCCCCTCAGTATGAACCCCAACCTCCGATGGCTAATAGTACCAGTTCTATGTTGATTAACAAGTCTTCTAGCGTGTCTGGTGTGCGTCTCGTTTTTTGCTGTGCCGATCTTAATTCCCAAGTCTGCCATTCTGGCGAGTGATGTGGATTCACTGCCACCAAAGTCCTCTATCCTTCCCATTGCTCGGAGGGCATTGATAATATCAGCATGATCCATAGGCTGACCGTCGGTAGTGATAGCGGATCCAGCCAACCTGTCAGCTCTTTCATTTCCATCGACGCCTGCGTGTCCCGGAACAAAAATAAAGGTGACTCCACGCACAGTGGACTTCTGTAATGATTCAAGCCATTGTCTTCGCACTGAACCTGCTTGAACCCTCCGGATCATACTCATTGAATCACTGAGTATACACACACGGGTGTATTTTTGTGTTTCAAGCCAGGCAAGCGCTTGCGTCACTGCCATCACCTCCATCGTCATGCTGCTGGTTGTCATGGAGAAGGCGCCGTTGGCTTCTTTGACTGTTCTGCCCGCTGAGCGTGCTGTAAATGCCCATGCGCTTCTTCTTTGGCGTATAACGGATCCGTCTGTATAGATTATTGCATCTGCTTCATCTGAATTTTCACCGATGAGAGCGTTGACCTCTGCATTAACAGCGACAGGATTCTCTTCTCTACATAGCCTGTTGTCTCAGTTGTCTTTGGCTATGTTGAAAAATCAGATAACCATGCTCACAGTGGAGACAGAGCAGTTAACATATGTGTGCTTGTTTTTAGATCCTTATGTACACACCATAATGGTGGGCTTAACTCTTTCGGTCATAGGCATGTATCCCTTTAACTCATTGATTTCCAAGTATTGATTACCTTCTGTATTGAATGTCAAGCTTCAGATGGGGAAAATAACAAAGGTGAGAGACAACCTGAGGAGTTAAAGTAGCAATGAGATAGCAATGTTTATTACAATTGTTACATGAAGAAGAATGTGCTTAGAGAAGCATGTCATGTCAGGTGTAACCACTAAACACATGGTGATTCGGCTGGTAATAAAAGAGTTTCAGCTTCCTCTGAAGTCAGATCGCATCTGCCGGAGAGGTGAGGAACCAAGAGTCTGCACACAAATAAGCAGATCTGTGAAAAGATGTGCATGCAAAATTCATGGATGAACAACCACAACCTTCTGCCAGAGTTGACAGTCGGTGAATGCTATGAGGAAGAAGAAAGGTTTAAAGGAAAGGCCAAGAAAAATACAGACACAGACTGCTGTATGTTCACCTCTTATGAACTGGTAATATGATTCATCTTTCTGCTGACTAAAATAGTCAAGACAGAAGATGATGATGATGATGTGGAAGGCTGTAGACAAAGACAACCATCTGACCTGTACTGCCTGGTTCTGTCCCTGTTCGTCCAGAGACTTGAGCCTCTCCTTCATCTTGTCATGGACACGGGAATGTTGGTCCGCTAGATCCTCCAGCTCTGTCACACGCTGCACCATGCGTTCCATCCGTTTGCTCATCTCAGCGTTGGTCTGGCTGAGTTTGTTATTACCAGCTCTGCCCCAATTAAAAAACAACAGTGTGATTGATTCTCACAGCAGATTGTGAAAGGTGAACTTCATGTATAATATTCAAACATATATTTGGATAAATTGTCTTACTATGTGTGTGAATACTGACCTAAGTTAATATGTCTTCCTCTTCTTCACATTCATCAGCTGTAAACTCTGGTTGATAGTTCTGGGTGTTTGTCCACCTCTGAACTTTAGTCTTGTTCCAGAACCTGATTGTTGCATGCACATTTGTTTAACAGATTTGGCTTTTTTGCATGCAGACTCTTGGTTTCCTGCCACTAAGGCAGATGTACTCCGACTTCAAAGGGTGTCCCCAAATGGTCGACTCCTACCACATTCTGGGGAGGCAGTGGGTCTATCCTTGTTTTCCCCCACAGTGGGGCCGCATAACCCACAAGGGGGAGCGATATGTGTGAATACTGAGATATTCTAACTAAGATAAAAAGACAAATTGTAAAAGCAATTTTTATTCCAAATTTAGGTTCCCAATATCAGACTTGGACATTAGCAACAACAACAACAACAACAACAACAACAACAACAACAACAACAACAAATACTAACCACTTGTTGAATGAAATATCTGATAAATGCTGCAAAAAAAAACAGAAGTGATTGTGTGAGAGATGAAAATATTAGAACAAACAAAACCAGAAGTGATTGTGTGAGAGATGAAGAGATTATCATTAAATTGATTAAGAAACAAATATTTAAATAGTTTAGCCTCCTTGTGAGAATGTATACAACGATGCCGACAGTCAAGGCAGTATGAAACATGAAAATGGAAACACCAAGAGGCAAAGGCAGACCTATAAGGAAATGAATGGAGGAAGTCACAGACAACCTATGATTTCACAACATCCCAGCATATACGAAAACTTAGCATGCCCTGACTCGGCTACCTATCATTTGTTCAACGCCTAGCGGCACAAAGCAAGTACTGACAAAAGAAGAAGAGAATGGAGCTTAACAATAAGTAAAAATATAAAGCTTAACAAAATGTGTATATACTGCGTTTAAAAATATGTGTGAAGATTGTCTGAGCTTTAAACTCTTATGGACTAAATATCCGAGCTTGAGGATACATGTGGATGAACTGAAAACTGTCTGTATGTACTAGACATGTGGAACTCAAGTAAGTTAAAAACCAATATCACAGCACTTGGGAAGTTCTAATAATACTGAACCACTACCTACGTCAGCCAGCACAAAATTCAAATTCTTCTGTACCAGTAGCAGTATGATTATATAAATTATGCATAAAGATACACAGTCTTCAACTTCACTCATCCGAGTGATATAATTGTGTTGTGCTGTTTACAGCACAGCTGCGATTTAGACATCTTTCGGCCAAAACATCCAACTTATCAGGCATTTGTTCACCTCGCCAGTTGGTTTCGTAGGACACGACGTAGCCTTATTTGTTTCAGTGGACCACTAACTCTAAAATTCACTGCCAGCTGAGTTAAGGTCGATAGTCACTATCCATAGTGCACGACGCCACCACACAGCTGGAGTCTTGCATGAAGATCTGCAAAACCAGCACAAAGTCTGCTGGTGTCCGAGGTGAGGTACCCAGTTATCTCCTTATACACAACACAACGGTCTTAACTTGCCCTCACAGTAAACTATCTACAAATAATAATAAATGGGTTAATATTTTGAGCCTTGCTGTCTGCAGATAACAATAAATATGTTGAACCTAACTGTCTCAAAAAAAAAAAATGGTGTTAAATATGTGGAGCCTAGGCACATACAAAACTTACCTGTACTTTTTCACAGTCTTCTCCAGGTTCAAGGCTTGTCGCTTGCACTCTTCCCTGAGTTTCATGATCAGCTTGTTCTGTTTCAGCAACATACTGTCCATCTCATGTACGTACTGATCTGTATGTGCAGGGAGAATTAACATTTAACTCATACAGATGGTGTTCACAGACAAGAACTAACATAATATAAACACTGATCCCTGGATATGTACAGACAAGTTCTAACATAATATAAACATTGTTCCCTGTACATATACAGACAAGAACATAATATAAACATTGTTCTCTGTATATGTACAGACAAAAAATAACATACTATAAACACTGTTCCCTGGATATGTACAGACAAGAATATAATATAAAAATTGTTCCCTGGATATGTACAGACAAGAACTAATATAATATAAAAACTGTTCCCTGGATACGTTCAGACAAGAACTAATAAAATATAAAAATTGTTCCCCGGATATGTACTGACAAGAATGAAGACAATATAAACATTGTTCCCTGGATATGTACAGACAAGAACTAATATAATATACAAATTGTTCCCTGGATATGTAGCTACAAGAATGAAGACAATATAAAAATTGTTCCCTGGATACGTACAGTCAAGAATGAAGGTATTATAAACATTGTTCCCTAGGCATGTACAGACAAGAACTAACAATATAAACATTATTCCTTGTATATATACAGAAAAGAACATAATATAAACATTGTTCGCTGGGTATATACAGACAAGAACTCGGATAATATAAACACTTCGGTGGGTATTCACAGATCAGAACTAACATAATATAAACATTGATCTCTGGATATGAGCGACAAGAACTAATATAAACACAATATAAATATTGCTCCCTGGTATGTACAGACAAGAACTAATATAAACACAATATAAATATTGCTCCCTGGTATGTACAGACAGGAACTAATATAAATACAATATAAATATTGCTCCCTGATATGTACAGACAAGAACTAATATAAAAACAATATAAATATTGCTCCCTGGTATGTACAGACAAGAACTAATATAAATACAATATAAGTATTGCTCCCTGGTATGTACAGACATGAACTAATATAATTACAATATAAATATTGCTCCCTGGATATGACAGACAAAAACTAATATAAATAAAATATAAATATTGCTCCCTGGTATGTACAGACAAGAACTAATATAAATACAATATAAAAATTGCCCCCCTGGTATATACAGACAAGAACTACAAACTAACACAATATAAACATTAGTTCCTGGGTGTCAACAGACAAAACCTAATACGAAATGATCTAAATGCAACACATACGGTCAGAATCCATTCAGAGTGCCCTGTAACTGTCTGGTGTGATGACCAATTTGGGGCTACACCCACCTACAACGAAACCTCTGGTAAATGCCAGTGAAGCATAATTATTTCCTAGACTATCTGGTTAATGTGCAAGTAAACAGCCCTAGTGACTAGTGAGATGCGCCCTACTTTATGTGTCCAGACCTAACTTACGTCAGCATATAATGTACTTCAATTAAAAAAAAAAACAACTGCGGCAGTAGTTACTTGCTAGGCACAAGGCAGATTACTGTGGACAACTCACTATGTTTATCTTCGGATTCTTCCATTTTCATCTTTATTTCCTCCTCTCTGTCTTGGGCCTTCTTTCGGATGATCTGTAGATCTTCTGATCTAGTTCTTTCTATTGCATCTCTGGCCATCTTAGCCAGGTGTAGCTGTAGGAGTAGCAGAGTTGGCATTAAATGTTTTCTCTTTCTTTCATACAGGTGCATTTAAATTCATAAAATCAACAGCACTAAATACCCCCCCCCCCCCCCCCCCCAAGAATGTTATAACCCAGTATGGGATGCCATTTTTTTTTTTTTTGTAAAGCCCCCTCCCAGCTGTTGTCAGGGGCCCCAATATAAGCTAAGGTTGAACAGGGTTTCTATGACCTGTACCTCGGTGATTCTCATCTGAACAGTTGGTACTTAGTGTCACCTGATGTTTATTGCTCATTGTGAAGTCTTGGTGGAGTTGAACATCACTCCCTCACATGCATTTTTTAAATGTGATTTTAATTGCTATCTCTTAAAATTGCAATACATTAATCTAAAAAAAAAAAAACATTTGCCCTGTAAGAATAATACATAACATGTCAACTGTATGTGTTCATGCTGCAATTACTCTGATACATCTGAGTGTTGCATGTTTGCTTTGATCACTCAAACACAGGGCAAGATGTCAAAGGGGCCTGGGTGCCCATTTCTTAACCCTCAGAACATGCATGTGTGCATGTGTCTGTCTCTCTTTCTCACTCTAGTGCATTCATCTACAATTGTGTGCATGTGTCTGTCTCTCTTTCTCACTCTAGTGCATTCATCTACAATTGTACTGATGTAACAAATCCCACAATTTTGAGGATTTAACTTTTTACAAAACTTAAAGATTCAAGTACAGATGATGGCTTGACTCCATTTTGGCAAGGAATGAACACTTATTGTCAACATCGCTATGAATTTCCCCTTGCATGTACGCTAGACAGCTGTGTTATATCAATGAAAGAAGAAATCGGAAAACTGTTCAGCATACTGATAGCAAAGCCAATGGCTCAGATGATATCCCAGCACTATATACATAGCAACTGTTTTCTTTCTTGTATAATAAGAGTAGAAGAGCACAGACTGTGACATAATAAAATGTATATTTTATGTAGAAGAGAACATACTGAAATAAAAAATATATTAAAGGTCACAAAGAAATTACAGAATTAGTTAATTGTAATTCCGGAAATACCATGAATGACCAAACAAAATCCTCTCTTCAATGATGAGCACATACTACTTGTACAGGTATACCTCTCTCTCTAGAGCCTGCACATTACTGGTGGTGTGTATACATTCCTCCTTGGAGTTAATTAGTTCCCTTTCTGCTTTAGTCAGCCTGTGCCTCAGATCGTCCAGCTCTATCTTTGTTCTGATCATTTCCTAAAATACAAAGTATCAGTGACCAGAATGAGATTGTCAAGTCAGTAAATATCAACATGGCTACTGTGACATGGCAAACTTCACAACGACCATGTGACTAGTGGAATGTTCAGTCAATGATTAGTTCTGCAGAACACTGGGTGGCTGTTGGATAATTTTACCACTTATAATATTTCTTTGCAGCTGGAGTGCATACATCTGATAGACAAGAAAACAACAGACTGCACAGGTCTGTAAAACAGATGTACATGCAAAACACAAATCCTAGAACAAAGCCCAAGTCCAGAAAAGGAAGAACAATAAGGACTTTCTGCTGAATAAAGATGATCAACTTCAGTGGCCAGGTTTTTACCCTGTATAGTTAAGATGCTGAGGTACATTTTCAAACCCCAGAAGGCAAAAATGCAACAGTTTTCCATGTTTGGGGCAGAACTGTTCTGTTTGTGAGTTTTCAATGTTTTTTTCCATGTATGTGAATATACATAGTGAGATTCCCCAGCTCAGTATTTAAGAGATACAGGGGTCTTCTCTGCTCAGTGACATGGTAGAACTGTTAAGAAGTCAGAGGTTCTATCATTACAGCCACAAGCAGTATGGCAGTGCAAGTGCTGGTAGTGACAAAGTCATTATGTTGGCTTGAATCACAAAACTACACCATGTATGCCCACCCTCAGCACAATCCAGAAAGTTAAGGAAGGTTTTGCTTGCATCTGCTGGATTAATTACATCACCCACAATTCTGAAAACTACCCGGACATTTGGCTTTTGTAGACAACAAAACCTGGATAAACCAGCCCTGACTGTCACTGTACAAGATGGACAACCAATGGATTGAGCTAACATGCTCTTAAAGGTGTCAGCCAAAACAAGGACTTACAACTGAAGGAATCAGCATTAATAGAATTCAAATGTTTGGACTAAATATAGGTCTGGTAAGAAAAGAAAACATGGATATGCACAAATTGGTTTGACAGTCAACACCAAAATGGCACAGTAGTCATTATATACTGAAGGATTTACTAAATGATACCAGAGCAATTATAGAGACACCAAGAGCGCAGTGATGATAATAACAGCTGAACTGAACATTCTATAACTCTTGGTTTTCATCTTAAACACACAGAAAATCTGTTTTTCAGAACCTTCACAAACAATAATCATTTGGATAAGATTCCCCATGTGGGTTCTGGGACCCTCTTGTAAAGAAAACAAAAATAGACCCATTGCCTCCCCAACAAGCAGGTTGTAGGAGTCAACTAACTGGAGGCTTACGTTGAAGTCAGAGTGCATCTGCCTGAGATGCAAGGAACCAACAATCTGCATACCAATATGTCGGATCTGTAAAATGGATGTGCATGCAACATTCAGGTTCTGGAACAGGACTACAGTCCAGAGATGGAAAAACAATGATCACTGTCCACAGAAGTTTACATCCCGTAAACGCCAGACTGGAGAGAAAGATTTGGATAAAATGAAAACAGATGCATCCAAACAGGTCAAAAACAATATTAAAACACTCATCATTTGCTGCAAATACCTGGTCATGTTCATGTTTCAGCTTTTCTAGCTCAGATCTCAACCTGTTTGATTCATATAATGCTGAATTGCGCTGGAGTGATGCATTGGTCGTTTCTGAACGGAAACTTTCTGCCGTCTGAGGAGGAAAGTATACAAGTTATTGACTGATTATACAAACCACATGACATGACCTCTAATGTACACCACAATTGGAGAACACACATTTTTACATAAATCATGCGGTTATTAGTCGTCTGATCATGTCCTACCACTGTTCCCTGTTCTATTCAGTTCTTTTCAATTTAATAAATACTTGAACAACAAGAGCACTGCAAGCTTGTGTGATCTAATCATTTCTTGGATGCCCCTTTCAGCTGTTCCCCTTCAACTTATTCTAAGAATGTAGTTTATGATGAAAATACACAACACAGCTTGTATGGACACAATAACCAATGAGACAGTTCTTCGAGAAACAAACGCAGCAAGGGTCCTTTGGGAGCAAGTGAACCAATGGATCATCACGGTTTGAGGAGAGTTGTGCTGCAAGGAGTTACCAGGGAATCTAGCTGCAAGGAGTTACCAGGGAATCTAGCTGCAAGGAGTTACCAGGGAGTTGTGCTGCAAGGAGTTACCAGGGAGTTGTGCTGCAAGGAAAAGACAAGATGGATATAGTCAGACTGTTACTGGTGCAACTGGAAGTGGAGCAAGGAGTTACCAGGGAATCTAGCTGCAAGGAGTTACCAGGGAATCTAGCTGCAAGGAGTTACCAGGGAATCTAGCTGCAAGGAGTTACCAGGGAATCTAGCTGCAAGGAGTTACCAGGGAATCTAGCTGCAAGGAGTTACCAGGGAATCTAGCTGCAAGGAGTTACCAGGGAATCTAGCTGCAAGGAGTTACCAGGGAATCTAGCTGCAAGGAGTTACCAGGGAATCTAGCTGCAAGGAGTTACCAGGGAATCTAGCTGCAAGGAAAAGGCAAAATGGATATAGAGTCAGACTGTTACTGGTGCAACTGGAAGTGGAGCTCTAAACTTGCTGCTGAAGATGGGAATGAGCGCTTATGGGAATTCCCAAGTGCTATGACAACATTTTCTTAATTCAACACTCAAGAAATAGATGACAATGTTCCCCGTGTGGGTTCCGGGGCCCCATCGTGGGGAAAACAAGAATAGACCCTCTGCCTACCCAAAAGCATGTCGTAAGAGTCGACTAATTGGGGAGCTTCCTTTGAAGTCGTAGTGCATCTGCCTGAGAGGCAAGGAACCAACAGTCTGGTTCAAGTAAATCAGATCTGTAAAACTGATGCACACGCAACATTCAGGTTCTGGAGCAGGACTGGAGTTCAGAAGTGGACGAACAACCAGCACTTTCCACCAGAGTTTACAGCTGATGAACAAGGAAAAAAAAAAAGGAAAAGATGACAATGTACCCGCAGTCCGCAACCATCCACAGAAGTTAGCAGGAGGCTAAACAACTTAAAATCTACATGACTCAACCTAAGACTACAAAATAGGTAATCACAGAATGTCAGAATACCTAATACTAGACACTTACAACGGTAACTTCTCTGTCACAAGTTCTCAGCTGAGACTTCAACTCATTGATTTCTGCAGACAAAGTTGCTTTATCTCTCACTTCCTTCTCGTACCTGGCTTGGATCAGAGAGTAGTGCTCTCCTAGTTCTGACAACTGTTGAATAGGAAACAGTTTATTTCTGTCCACAGAAACATATAACTTGTGTCTGCATGTGCTGACTGGAATGCATTCAATGACAAATAATAGAAAAGTAGATCAGGTAATCAGGTAATACAATTCCAACTTCATAGCAAATGGGTTGCCCCGTAGTTACTCCGTTCCTGTGCCAACAAAAACTGTACAAAATCTCTATCACTGACCTCGTGAAAACCATGGACAACACTGCAGACAGCAAACCAATCATACACACTACACAAAAATGCATAGGCAGAAGTGTCATCAAACAGTTGATAGAAAGCAGCAGTTATGACAGATCAGCAGCTGCACATGCTATTAATTGCATAAGGCACCTCCACTTATCTCTGGCAACAGACTGCTTGCCATTTTCTAAATTTGTACTTCACAACACAAACCATGTTATGCGCAGTCAAAAAGCTTTTAAAAATGAGGACGGAAACAGACACGGCACATCACACAAAAGATTAAACATGGGGACATAAATAGATATTTTTAACACTTATAACATTCCTTTGCAGTTGGAGTGCATACGTCTGATAGACGAGAAAACAACAGACTGCACAGATCTTTGTTTGTTTTAGTATCCAGAAGCAATGAGTTGTTAACCCTTAGGCTTGGTATTATGGATATTGCAACCTTTCGGCCTTGATTCCATTGTAAATACAGTAAATCTGGGAGAAGTGTGGCTTTTCTGTCTACCCCCGGGAGTGAACCCGGACCACAAGCAGTTCGTCACCCGGTCACCACGCAATCCGGTTTAGTCAACTACACTAGAGAACCAGGCGCACAGATCTTTAAAATAGATGTACATACAAGACTCAAATCCTAGAACAAGGCCAAAGTCCAGAAAAAAAAAAAGAACAAGCACTTTCTGCTGGATAAAGACGATCGACTTTAGTACCCAGGTTTTTATCCTGTATAGCTCCATCTATCTTAGCAGAACGGCTGGCTGCCTGATGAGGTCATCACATGAAGCATGAATTCTGTAGCTCCAAGGATGATCCCCAGGAACCTCTATAAAGAACTGCACTCATAAACCGAAGGACTCAGCTGCAATACGAGCCCACAAACTTGTGAGCTTGAGGCAAACAGCTGGACCACCTCACCACAGAGATCTTCTCATATTATCTCATTTGCTGGGGCTTACAGCCAGTCAACGCAACAACAACAACAACAACCAATTATAACCGGTCTGAAAGCCATGGAAACAATTAACCCAACATCTGTACTGCTAAATCCATCAAGTTTTCATTAATACCTTCAGTCCTCTAACAATTAGCTGATACTACTCTCATCAAACGCTCGCCGCGGATCGGAAGGTCGTGGGTTCGCTCCCTGGCGGAGACGGACTTTTCTTCAAAAATGACCTTGGCTCCCAGGTCGACCCAGCCTTGAGTGGGTAACCGGTGCAATCCAGGGAAGTAGAGGTGGCCGGCGTGATGCTGACCACATCACCCATCTTGTGCCGTTGGTCTATAAAAATATAGGTCTAGCCCTATATGCCCTATACGCCTAAAGGCGTGGAAAGGGTCCTTTACAAGCAAAAAAATTTTTAAATCTATCTCACACTAAATCAAATGTCTACGAGTGTATATATAAATATATGGGTGTGTGTGTGTGTGTGTGTGTGTATATATATATATATATATATATATATATATATATATATATATACACATGCACGCACGCACACACACGCACTCACACACGCACACAGACACACAAGTATTCTAGATAGATATTTCAAGTGCATGTGACAACATATTGTGGGTGGATTAGATATAGAGTATTCTCCTGGTTGAACCTACCTTGCTGTTGAGGTCATCGATCAACAACTGATTCTCTCTGCGAGCCGAATCTCTCTCTGCTTTAATCAGATTCTGTGACTCTATGATGTGATGCTCAAACCTCTCCCTTAGCCGGGCCAGCTCATCACAGACCTGCTCCTTTTGTACAAATGCCTACAATATAAGATATATCCACAATGCTGAAATATCTCAATATCATCATTTAATGTCATGGAGAGTAGTGAATCTCTCTCTCTCTCTCTCTCTCTCTCTCTCTCTCTCTCTCTGTCTCTCTCTCTACCTATCTTTTGTCCTTCCCCATTACAGTGAAGGCTCTTGACCAACTCCTATATTTGTAAACACCTATACACCACATAATTCAGCTAGTCAGAAAAGAAATCGAATGAAAACAAATGTTAAAGACACAAGAGAAAATTACAACCATCAAACATTATTTGCACACAAAAAAGAAGGTTATTTAGCAATAAGAGTCTCAGAGATCATACAAGAATAAAAGGACACAGACGTGACCTAGGTGAAAAGAGTTGCTGGGCTGGGAATCGCAGGCTGTAGATCTCATGGCTTTAGCACCAAATTTTGACTAACGGACCTAATGAGTATGCACGCATGCACACATACTGCCACTCAGGTATTAGACAAGATAGGTAATCTCAAACCACCATGGCTATGGACACCAATCACCTACCTCCGTCTGCTCCAGCTGAGCCTGCTCAACCAATTGTATTCCTTTCTTCATCTGCTGGTATGCATCTTCTTCTCGCTGCACCATTTCCTTCAGCTGAGACTTCAAGGATGTTACATGGTCCATCAGCTCGTCACGTTCTCTGAAATGACAAACAGAAAGGCAGCAATATAAAGTTTACAGCTTGGCTGTGATATCTGCACCTTTCCGTCCAACATATCCAATGTCAGCAAACCCTTAGTTAGTCATCCTTTAGTAAGTAGCATCCATAAAGTGATAATAACAGGTGTGACTACAGTCAAGCTAATACCAAGAAATGAATCCACTGAACCGTGACTAAGAACTGATTTTTTTTTGTTTTGGTTCCACCTCGTCTTTTTCTTTTCACGTGATGTGATGCAACCCCCCCCCCCCCCCCCCCCCCCCCCCCCCCCCCCCCCACCCTGTGCCGGGCACTTGTATAATCTTTTGTGTGATGCATCCCATCTGTTTCTGTCCTCTTGTGTTATTTTTCACTTTTTGCATTCGGTCATTTAGTCTAATCTTCTATGCAAATCTACTAAGAAAAACATTGCTTCTGGTCAGTATGCCAGATAGGCAGGTTTACTGTTTTTAGTCGTGGTAAGTTTTTGCTTGTGACAATAGTTAGCCTTTGTATTTTCCTCTATATATAAACCACAAGTTCCGTCACCTAGCTACTGAGATGAGTGCACCCAGTGAGCTGCAGATTTCATTTGGAATTCTTTTCAACTGTGCATAACATGGTTTGTATTGTGAAGTAAAAATTCAGAAAATCGCAAGTAGCCTGTTGCCAAAGATAACGGGAGGTGCCTTATGCAATTAATTGCATGTGCCCTTTGTTGCTTTTGTTGTTTAGGTCAAGAACTGAAACATCAACAATTCCTTGTGTGGACTGTATGTGTTGTCACACCCCCCCCCCCCCCCCACCTTTTCCCCTTTTCGTTACGTTTCTTTGTCAATGTTTATTGGATTAATGTCTTGGGAAGAAGCTCAAGAACCCATAAGGGAATCCATGGTATACAGTTCCTACAGGAGTTTCTTCTTGTTTTCACACACACTTTTCTCGTGTTCAGTTAAAATCAAGAGGACTGGCTTCATAACATAGAGTTACCCAATATAGCTGTCACTAACCTAAGATTCAGAGTGCAGGCAAACAAAGAAGACCCCTCCCCCCACTTTCCCCAAGTGAGATCCTGGACCGTATATTTAAAAAGGAAGAAAAAATAACAGATTTACTGCCCCCCCCCCCCCCCCTTTCCCAACAAGCATGTTGTAAAAGGTAACTAATTAGGGGTTGGACAAAATAAGATACGCTGGGTTGAAACTGCAGCCACAATACAACATGCCACCATTTTAAAGGTGAACGCAAAACAAGAAACACACATTTACAGATTAACACAGATGTCCCACAATTCCCCCTTCCAGTCTGTTGCCGGCACAAACTCTCTAAACAAAATGATCCAGCAACCCTTACTTTGTGAGCTTGTCTATTGTACTGTGGGCAATGTGTCTCTCCGTCTCGGACACAAACATTCCACCAATGAGTCCATTTTCATGTGTGGGTATCGATTCCTGCATCCTCAGCTGAGCTTTGAGGTCTTCCACTAGCTGCTCCAGTCTCTCCACCTCCATCCTAAATTGACCAAATGTATATTATTATTAAATCTGTCTTCACAAAATACAGCGAGACTTAATAAGGAGAAATTAGGGATCCTAGAAATACTTCTTATCAGAAATTACTCCTATGCAGATAAGAGTTGAAGCTTATGGTAATAATGCATTAGGATAATCAATGATGAACAAAGAAGGTGAAACATCTCTTTATGAATCTTCTTAATTACGGCTGTTGATGTGAGTAATGAAATGTGAAAATGCCGTAATGAGTGCAGGTAAAGACAGTTCTACAATTAAGGTAACCACATTCCAATAGGGACGATCATCCATATCTTCAACTTAGCTGGGAGAGACTAAACCTTTACAGGCCTGTCTCAGTTATAGTTATGTTTCCACGGCACTTAGTATCATAAAATCTATTATAACCACCTTGTATGTTTTGTGTGTGTGTGCTCAAGTGCACACCTGCTATATTGAGAGGATTTTTGTAAACCTCTTTGCTTCATCATGTTGAAACCAACAAGAAATGTACTTAACTCTTTCAGGACAACATTTGGTTCTTAATTTATAACGTACCCCAAACAGGAAATCCCCGTGGGAAATCCACAGCTGACCTGACAGTCCATTATTTCAAGGGGTGAAAGTGTGCTGTTGTGTGGTACTTTTTTTGAGTGTTAATCTAGTGTCTTCTAATGCTAACCCTAACCCTAAACTTGGCTGTAGATAAATCGCAAGAAACTACAACCTGAACACCCTAGAATTTATTGGGAATGTCTCCCGTGACGTTGTCATGACGTCAGGGGTAAGTTATAATTTAAGTACCCAACATTTTTTCAGGATTTTGGACAGCATTAATTTTGAGCGGAATTTTTTTACTGCAACATGACAAAGCTAAATGGTGTTCCGTATTCAAAGAGTTAAGCTTCATATCTGCAGTGAGGCAAGGCGATCTCTGGTACATTATTCAGGTGGGAATTCATTCTTTAGAGTCACACACTGCGAAGATGTGCTCCAAGGATCTGTCCTACAGGCCTCTGTAGCCCATAGCTTACCATTAGATGTGTGAGGAATGAGCAACTACTGGTCCGCTACCTGCTGATACTATTAAACAACTTACTTTGAATGTTGAAGCTGGGTCTCCAGCCGGTTGGCTTTTGCTGTGTGAAGCTTACTTAATCTTTCCTAAGAGATATATTAATCAAAAATGAGAGAAATTAGAGGTGACACCTTCTTTTTAAATAGGAGAATGTATCTTTTCAGGAATTTGTTAACTAAATATGGGTCCTTTAGGCATATGTTAACAAAATGTAAAAGATAGCAGGGTCCTTCAGCTATGTTAACAAAATGTAAAGGGTATCTCTTGACAAATGCCACCATAAAACCGTGATCTGATGACTTCATAAATATTAGGCCACATTTTATGAATAAACAAACTTTATGTTCAAAGGGTTCAGAATTGGTATATGAGACAATAGTTGCCTGTTGTCTATTATTTCCTTTCTCAAGTCCAATTTAGTACAGCGATGTTTAGCTTTGCTCCCCCGTGCATATCTTCAGGGAGAATGCTGCTGCTTCAGTTCTTTTCTTAATTATTTTATTCAGTCTTTCTCTCCAGTTTTCTTCTCTTTCTTTTTCAACACTTATTTTCTTCTTCTTCTGCATCCCATTAACCGGCTGTAAACTCCGGCTGAAATTTCTGGTTGTTCGTCCACTTCTGGACTCTAGTCCTGTTCCAGAAACTTGGTGGTGCGTGCACACCTGTTTTACAGGTCTGACTCATCTGCATGCAGACTCTTGGTTCCTTGCCTCTCAGGTAGATGTACTCCGACTTTGAAGGAAGCTCCCAACTAGTCGATTCCTACAACATGCTTTTGGGCAGGCATTGGGTCTGTTCTCGTTTTCATCCACAATGGAACCCCGGAACCCACACAGTGACTCACTTTCTGACAATCATATGTATATTTTTCTAAAAGCTGCCAACTTCTCATCTCATACGATACACAAAGGACACACCTATCTTGACAAGAAAGTACAATTTTGGTCTTTTCATAGGGTGTTGAAACGGTATGAATTTGCCCAGCAGGCTAAATTATATCTACCAGTGATCACCACTTCAAGCCTCACTCAGTAAATATATATGAATGAAAATACGTGAAACAGAATAAACAATATCATGGACAACAAAGGCAGATGCACAATTTCTAACACTGACCCAGCCACACAAAAATATTAAAATGTAAGCACAGAACCAATTCTAAATTACACACAAAGACAGCAAATTAAATGGTTTGGATAGAATGCCTTGTGATGCCATGCCATACCATACCGGGCCTTTGCAAAAAGAGGAGTCGGATACAGAGCACAAGATAAACAAAGAACAAGATGAAAATATCAGATCAGAGAAACTCTACAAAAGCATGATGTGTCTATCGTCGGGGCGGCCCAAAAAAAGTAAGAAGCTGGAAACTTATCCTCTACACCAGAAGCTGTAAAAGAGGAAGTAAAGAAGAAGAAGAAGAAGACCCTGGCAAAGAATTATTTTAGGAGGACAGGGAGAGGTGTCAAGAGTTGTCAGGATGAGGACAACTACTGTCATGTAATGATGCCATCTGCACCTCATGTGCCTGCCATTCTGTCCTTTCCTGTCCACATCAATCTGTAATCCAAATCTGGCATTTCCTTGTAAAAACATGCCACCATTATACAACTGAATAACTTGATAAGAATTATAAGTACTTTCAAATTCTCCTACCAGTTCAACCTGCCATCTTTTGAGATCATGACGACCCATAACATTAGAATATGATTCCACCAAAGAGTCATCAAAAGTGCCCAAGAACTGAAATATGTTAAGATAATTGCATGAAATAAAACACGAGGAGGGAAAATGCTTACATGTATAACATATCAGGCAACCATATAATGAATATTTGTTACTGCTACATACTGTCATACATCTGCTAACTGGTGTGATTATCAAGTTGAATCAAAAAAGTGCTATCCCCACAATGAATGCTGGTTGTGGTGGGTTTGAGCATCCACAACTGTGAGAGTATCACATGGTGAGGCCTCAGCCTTACATGGCACGGCTCTCGCACTAGTGTCAGTTAGCCATGAGAGCATATAAGTTTCTAAACGGCCTAATGCATAAACCTGACCCAAGTGTGTCAAGAATTGTGACACAGCATTGTTTAATCTCTGAGCCATACAGCGATAGTGAAATTATTTTTTATTCTGATAAATTCTGTTTGTTGGTAAATTTAGTCATTTTAGTAAACCCATAAATTACAATTGGTACAAAATTTAATCAGAGTGCCATGCCCCCATCAAACTCTCTTCTTTCAGCTAGCTTCTTTGGGAGAGGATTCTGTAATGCTGATGTTCTCTGCTTGTCTTCCTCTTCTTTGATCCTTCTGTTAGAAAGTGTATACCAGAAGGCCAGTAGCCTTGAGGAAAGCTACTGTGCTGTCCATTTCACCTCATTTACCACATCTTCCCTGAGGTTGGAACAGGCCAGACTGAGGTTGGAACAGGCCAGACTGAGGTTGGAACAGGCCAGACTGAGGTTGGAACAGGCCAGACTGAGGTTGGAACAGGCCAGATAGAGGTTGGAACAGGCCAGATTGAGGTTGGAACAGGCCAGATAGAGGTTGGAACAGGCCAGATTGAGGTTGGCACATGCCAGACTACTGTTGATACAGGCCAGATTGAGATTGGAACATGCCAGACTGAAGTTAGAACATGCCAGACAGAGGTTGGAACAAGCCAGACTGAGGTTGGAACAGGCAGGCCAGACTGAGGTTGGAACAGGCCAGACTAAGGTTGGAACATGCCAGACAGAGGTTGGAACATGCCAGACTGAGGTTGGAACAGGCCACACTGAGGTTAGAATAGGCCAGACTGAGGTTGGAACAGGCCAGACTGAGGTTGGAACAGGCCAGACTGAGGTTGGAACAGGCCAGACTGAGGTTGGAACAGGCCAGACTGAGGTTGGAACAGGCCAGACTGAGGTTGGAACAGGCAGGCCTGACAGAGGTTGGAACATGCCAAACTGTGGTTGGAACAGGCCAGACTGAGGTTGGAACAGGCCAGACTGAGGTTGGAACAGGCCAGACTGAGGTTGGAACAGGCCAGACTGAGGTTGGAACAGGCAGGCCTGACAGAGGTTGGAACATGCCAAACTGTGGTTGGAACAGGCCAGACTGAGGTTGGAACAGGCCAGACTGAGGTTGGAACAGGCCAGACTGAGGTTGGAACAGGCCAGACTGAGGTTGGAACAGGCCAGACTGAGGTTGGAACAGGCAGGCCTGACAGAGGTTGGAACATGCCAAACTGTGGTTGGAACAGGCCAGACTGAGGTTGGAACAGGCCAGACTGAGGTTGGAACAGGCCAAACTGAGGTTGGAACAGGCCAGACAGAGGTTGGAACAGGCCTGACAGAGGTTGGAACAGGCCAAACTGTGGTTGGAACAGGCCAGACTGAGGTTGGAACAGGCCAGACTGAGGTTGGAACAGGCCAGACTGAGGTTGGAACAGGCCAGACTGAGGTTGGAACAGGCCAGACTGAGGTTGGAACAGGCCAGACTGAGGTTGGAACAGGCCAGACAGAGGTTGGAACAGGCCAGACTGAGGTTGGAACAGGCCAGACTGAGGTTGGAACAGGCAGCCCTGACAGAGGTTGGTACAGGCCAGACAGAGGTTGGAACAGGCCAGACTGAGGTTGGAACAGGCCAGACAGAGGTTGGAACAGGCAGCCCAGACTGAGGTTGGTACAGGCTAGACTGAGGTTGGAACAGGCCAGACAGAGGTTGGAACAGCCCAGACAGAGGTTGGAACAGGCCAGACTGAGGTTGGAACAGGCCAGACTGAGGTTGGAACAGGCAGCCCTGACAGAGGTTGGTACAGGCCAGACTGAGGTTGGTACAGCCCAGACAGAGGTTGGAACAGGCCAGACTGAGGTTGGAACAGGCCAGACAGAGGTTGGTACAGGCAGCCCTGACAGAGGTTGGTACAGGCCAGACTGAGGTTGGAACAGGCCAGACTGAGGTTGGCACAGGCCAGACAGAGGCTGGAACAGGCAGCCCTGACAGAGGTTGGTATAGGCCAGATTGAGATTGGAACATGCCAGACTGAAGTTAGAACATGCCAGACTGAGGTTGGCACAGGCCAGACAGAGGCTGGAACAGGCTAGATTGCTTCACTGTTAGCAGCATGTTTTAGTGTTAGAGTACATGCTCAGCATTTTCTGGTGCCAGGTTGCAGTGACACATCTCCATGTTTCCAACATTACAAATTATAACAAATGTCAGCAAAGACCGTTGTGCCCTGTACTTAGTCTGAATCTGACACACTGACCCTCTCTATAGTGTGATGAAATGAGTCTTGTGATTCATATGTTATACTGTCCGTTTGTTAGGTCTGTTTTCAGTTGTCATCTTCAGCGATAGTATCCACAACATTACCACAGTTTCCCATTACTAGCGCTGTTTTATGTCCTTCACAATCCAGTTACAACGGGCAAGACTGATGGGAAAAGAGCACAGGAATAACAAAACAAAAAAAGAAGAAGAGGAAAGGCATGCTGCTCCTTCCTGGCCAACTGATCTTCATTCACTCTGAATGCTTGCATTCTTGTTATTTTTGCCATTTCATTCAGCTGAAAAGCTGTATGTTAGCCTCTTTGAGCATATGCTTTACAATAAGAACATCTTCCTCACAAATTATGGACCATAAATAACTGTCAAAGTCACTGACCTGGACCAAATCTCCTCCATCTTTGAGTATCTCATGGACAACTGCAGTCTTCAGTTCTTGATGAAGCATTCTGTTCTCCTCAACAACCTCGGCAAGTTTCATCCTAAGCATTGTCATTTCCTCCTAAAATATAAATACTGCACTGGACAAATGCATGCTCATGTATGAATGGCTGCTCTTTATCTGTACCAAATGTGACATGTATGAATGGCTGCTCTTTATCTGTACCAAATGTGACATGTATGAATGGCTGCTCTTTATCTGTACCAAATGTGACATGTATGAATGGCTGCTCTTTATCTGTACCAAATGTGACATGTATGAATGGCTGCTCTTTATCTGTACCTAATGTGACATGTATGAATGGCTGCTCTCTATCTGTAACAAATGTGACACGTATAAATGGCTGCTCTCTATCTGTACCAAATGTGACATGTATGAATGGCTGCTCTTTATCTGTACCAAATGTGACATGTATGAATGGCTGCTCTTTATCTGTACCAAATGTGACATGTATAAATGGCTGCTCTCTATCTGTACCAAATGTGACATGTATGAATGGCTGCTCTTTATCTGTACCAAATGTGACATGTATGAATGGCAGGTCTTTATCTGTACCAAATGTGACATGTATAAATGGCTGCTCTCTATCTGTACCAAATGTGACATGTATGAATGGCTGCTCTCTATCTGTACCAAATGTGACATGTATAAATGGCTGCTCTCTATCTGTACCAAATGTGACATGTATGAATGGCAGGTCTTTATCTGTACCAAATGTGACATGTATAAATGGCTGCTCTCTATCTGTACCAAATGTGACATGTATGAATGGCTGCTCTCTATCTGTACCAAATGTGACATGTATGAATGGCTGCTCTCTATCTGTACCAAATGTGACATGTATGAATGGCTGCTCTCTATCTGTACCAAATGTGACATGTATGAATGGCTGCTCTCTATCTGTACCAAATGTGACATATATGAATGGCTGCTCTCTATCTGTACCAAATGTGACATGTATGAATGGCTGCTCTGCTTCTGCTTGTCACTCATCTTACTAGTGAAGAACTAGCTGTTCTGCGGAGAGAGAAACTGAGCCATTTGGGAAAAACCCAGAGCAATGAAGTCGATCCTCACATCTTGACTTTACCTTTTAGATTTGCTATTTTTATATCAAAAACTGGAAAATCAGTCGATCAAGCTTTACATCTTCAATGAATGTTAGCTACAATGGATTTTCTAGCTTTCTAACTCTGGCTTTGGTTGAGCACTGTGATATATTGCTGTTCATCCATCTCTTGATGTCTTCTTTATACTACTATTTTTGCTTACCTTCTTAAGCTTTTCTTCAAATATGGGGGGGATGGGTGGTGTTGGGGTTGGCGGGGTGGGGGGGGGGGGGGGTTGAAATTTAACCCAAAAAAAACAAATTTACAAATAAGAATTAAACAAATAAAGGCTGACACTGTTGTGTCTATATACAGAAGAACAACTTTTTGATGTCATGACAGTTGTGATACAGATAATGATAATGTGTTTTAGCCAAAAAGATTAACACTTGAACAGAACAGACCAAGTCACAGTTTTTCGCTTACGCACTGGACACTGCAGACTCAATAAACACTCACATAAATTAGGTATGAGCCAAACAGCTCTCTGCCGGTGCCTTCGTGCTGAACAGACTCTAGAACATGTCCTGCAAGACTGTCCTCTCCTGGCAGAGCTGCGGAGCGATATATGGCAACACCCAGTAGAACTGACAACTAATCTTTGGGGAAACCTAAGAGACCTTGAAAAGACATCCCAGTTTATGACCCACAGTGGATTATGCGCATGACCAGAGATCGCTGAAGAAGATGAAGAAGCCAAAAAGATTCATTGTTATGCTTCATTATATGTTGACTATAGTAATGTTTCTGATGAGATACAGCAAAATAGACCAGTTTATGAGGTTTATTTAATGCCATTTTCTAGACTGAAGGATCAAAAAGTCAAACCTTAACATAACGAGACTCAGCCTCTAAGTGACTGGTGTAAACCGCTTGATTCTTGAGTAAAGTCGCAGCTTCTTCTGCTGATGGCAGTGCTTCCTGTCCCCTTGGCTGTTCGGGTTGAACATTTGAAGTCTACGATAAATAAAATAAAAAAACATGTTTACAAAAGTGACTGCTCTACATAGGTTATGGCCATAGTGATATATGGAGCCATAATGAAAAAAAGTAAGTAAACACATGGTGAAAATACTGGGTCATCAAGAATGACTGCTGGAATTGTATATTTACAACAACAACAACAACAACAACAACAGAGAGATACAGTTAGTACTTTAACTAATTCTTGGTAATCATTTTTGACGAGCCTGTACTTATCAAGATAGTGGTTTGAATTTGATTCCTAAAAGTACCAAAATTTACAATTTCAACCAGTAGAGTTATCAAATTATTGCTGGATAATGTTCTGGGAACAAAAGTGGTTACGAATCAAGGTGACAACTCTACCTCAGTGTGTGTGACCTAGAATATACGAAGGTCAAACACTTCAAAATTCAATAGCAGTATGTACCATGGGATTACAATTATCTATTAACATTCTTACAACATTCTTCCTCCTCTGGCCCTGTAAAACACATCATACAAGATTGTCATCTGTTGCTCATCCCCAAGAAGCCGCTAAACCAGCATTGTTGCATCAACCAGTCAAGCAGAGTTAATGGCATCGGTTCCATGTGAATCAGCAGTGTTTAAGAGGATCTTGTACTAAAAATAGCATGAGGATTGGGAGGGGGAGGGGAGGTCAGGTGAATGTCTTTTTTAGTCTTCATAACATCCCAATTCCTTTTCAGCATTTAGTAGTTAAGAGTCAATGATCACCGTATGAGGCACCATAAGTATTTTTATTTAGGCCTGATGGAAAGAAATTGTTTAATTATCCCCTCCATTGTTTCTTTTCAAGAATGTTTTAAAATTTGTGTGCGATATGTGTGTGTTTTATTTTGGCGGAGTAGGCGGAGGGGTGTCTTTGAGCCTGAGGACTTACAGGCTGCATGTCTGGTGATGTCTCCCCGGACTGCCGGTTAGGATTCAATTTTTGCCCCCAACAGAAACAATCCACAACCTTACCGAGGGTTTGATATGAGAGCCCAGAATTCTTAACCCTACAGCCAGCCGCTCCGCAGATGAATATATTTAGTTAAATTACAACTGCTGGATGGCAGCTGAGACAACATGCCTGCCTGCTCATGTGTTCAAATCTGCATCAAGGCAGGAGTTTTTTGTTGTGTGATTAGTTTTACTCATGCTTTCAGTGTGACCTAGTCTACAACATGTACCAGGAAATGTCCTGGGAAGTAAAGATGACCATCATGATTTTGACCACATCACTCATTTAGTGCTGATTACCTAAAAATGAAGGATTAGCACCGTATATCCAATAAAGCACAAAGTATGGAAAATGATCCTTCGCCTTGTTCACTTTACAACTGTTGGGTGATGATCCCACAGTCTTCTTCTTCTTCATGTTCACCGGCTGTAAACTCTGGCAGAAAGTTCTGGTGGTTCGTCCACCTCCAGACTTTAGTCTTGTTGTCATGACAATGAAATTGTTCCAGAACTTGAGTGTAGTGTGCACATCTGTTTTACCTATCTGGCTTACTTGTATGCACTCTTGGGTAATTGCCTCTCAGGCAGAAACACTCCGACTTAGAAGGAAGTTTCCAATAAGTCGACTTCTATGACATGCCTGTTGGGGAGGCAGTGGGTCTGTTTTTGTTTTTCCCACAATGGGAGCCTCGGACCCACTTCAGGATATGCTATAGTGGTTAAAAAACGAGATTATAGTTCACAAAAATCATGTCATCACAGGTGGTGTTGAAAGGAGTCTCAGATGCACAAACACAGTAGCTTCGGAAAAATTTGCAAGCATACTTTTGTAGCCACCAAGTGCCGATTGGTTTATAAAAATATAGGTCTAGCACTATATTTCCAATACGCCTAAAGGCGTGGAAAAGGGACCTTTACCTTACTTACTTTTCAGTACCTGCTTACGGAGCTGAAACACCTATGGGTTTATCAATATTGCAACAGTTCCAGATGTGAGAAAACACTTTCCCCTGTGTGGACATTGTGGATCAAGCCAGAATGAGGGCCAATTCGAGGGTCAGTCCTACCGCCCCCCCCCCTAAAAGCCAAATTGACCGATAAATGTCTGCCAGTGTCTCTCTGCTAATGCCAAAGTCTAACGTCTGTACGATGAACCAACCGAAAGCTTGTCACTCTGGTCGTGAAGGTAGTAGGATAATTTATGTATGTAAATATATGACACTAAATCTCACAATACCTGTTGTAAGTTCGATTAAGTGCAGCAGGGGATGTCCGAGGCCTGGCGTCATGACCCAGGTCAGCCCACGTTCCAAGATTGTCTAGGAAATTAATGGGCCGAAACTATCGTCGACAAAGGACCTCTCTACTGATGATCGGTGGACCACTGCTATACATGCTTCCCTATGGAGTTCTTCTTATTCTTATAGAGCAATAGTTCCAGTTGTGAGAAGAAACTTTCTCCTGAGTGGCTTTGGCTTCTGAGGATTCTATTGGGGGGTGGGGGCGGGGCGGGGGGGGGGGGGGGGGGGGGGGCAGACGCACCCCCCCCCCCCTAAAAAGCATGTCATAATAGGTGACTGATTAGGGATTTGCTAAAATCAAAAGCTGGGCCAAATGGCGCAAATATCGCAGCCTTGTTGTAAACCACAACACAATGTGGTAATCATCCTTTTAATGGTGGTGAACGCAGAAGAAGAAGAAGAAAGAGGAGGAGGAGGAGAAGAAGAAGAAAAAGAAGAAGAAGTGGGAGAAAACATTTAAACACGTATCAAACAGTAACCTTATTGTGCATAGACAACATATTTCGAAGCTGGATAGCGGCGCTGGAATCCTGGGCTGGCCGCAGCTTTTCATCTTCCCAAGTCAGAATTCTTGGATGAACTGTCCTCGTGAGCTGTGATTTACCATCTCCACTACCCACATAACCTGACCTATGAGAGGCTGCTTCCAGGCTGTTTTTCAGCTCATCCAGGCTTTCATTAGCTCGTTCTTTGTGGGGGAAAATAATACAAATAAAGATTTCAGCATAATGAACGCAGTGTGTGCCTATCCACTCATCTTCTTCTGCTGTTTGTCTCTTAATGGAGCAAACATAAGTCCTCAAATAGCTCACAGGAAGCTGCCTTCAGACCTATTCATGATTGGCTGATTGATTTTGCACCTAGTTTTCTATGGGATAGGGTAGATGTTTCCACACCAACCGTTCTTAAACTCTCTCTCTCTCTCTGTCCATCTCTCTCTAGAGTATTTTAGAAACAGCAAATATATACCCTAAATTTCTTATAATCACTACGGTTTACTGTAGTTAAAAATGTGCACATTCCAGTGCTGGTATTTAATTTTTAGCTGCTGTTGATAATGTTTACTGTTACTTGATGTATGAATGAAATGATGTAAAAAAGGAGGGAGACCAGAAGGGCAGAATGTTAGATGGGCCTGCATCACCAATTCCTAACCATCTGAAAATAAAGTTTGTTTGTTCTCTCCGCCTGTCTCTCAGTCTCTCTCTTTGCCTCTGTGTCTCAAGTGGCATGACAGGTCAAAATGTTTCTATTCTTTGCTTCCAGGACCACTTAGCTACGTGCTATTTCGTTAACGATTACTAATTCTAGACTGGTGACTGTGCGAGATAGTGAACCATGATCACCCAGGCATATTGCATGCTACTTGATGATAAATAAATAATTTACTTTTCTTCTTCTTTTCATAATCGCTGCCAAGGGTTTTCAGATGAGGCCACAGGCCACCACGAAGGTTGTAGTGCGACACATGTCCTCCACTGATCCATACAGTCTGGTTACCACCAGAATGCCAAAAGGCCAGACCTGGGATATCTCTGTTGCATGAAGAGAGCATGTCTGCAATATGTGTTCAATATCCTGGGGTGCTTGTCCACACAGGCAGTTCTGAATCCCTAATCCTAAATTTCTTGTGCACATGTGCACAGGACAGAGGCGTGTTGTGTCCAATAAACAATCTAAATATAACTGTTTTGTTTGTTTGAGGAAATTGTCTTTTCTCAACTGCTTCTGTTTCATGTTGAGTTGAGTTAAGTTGAGTCAAGAACTGAGATCACAGCGCTCAGGGCATTTGCATGCATGCTCCATCTTCAGCAGCCAGCGCAGAGTTCAGAGTTCCAATACTGATGGTACCAGTCACAATCTGGTTAAAAGTCTGTCTTGTCTTTCCTCTGAGTGTAGTGAGCCAGCCAGACCCTCTGGTTACACCCAGGTGCCTCATTCTCTCCAGGCCATTATAGTCTTCTTTCTCGACTGATTCCGTTGCTTGTTCCCAAAGAGCCTTGACCACATCTGCCTGGTCATGTATCAATTCACCACCCAGTGGTGCAGGTCCAGCCAATCTGTCTGCCTGTTCATTACAGACCATGCCGGTATGGCCAGGAGAAAAGATCTTCTGTTTCATTTAACCACCATATAAACCTAGTGGTATTTGAACCCCCCTCCCCCACAGTGAGTTTTTTTAAAACTTATTTGAGCTCCTAGGTAAACCAGCCTATATAGGGAACCACTAATGTTCTGGGAACCAAAGGCAGTAGACATGATTCTGACATCTCTATGTAAATATAAACTGGGATACAACAATTATGAATCCAGCATTGTATGCCCAATTATAGCAATAGTATACAGATTTTTCAAGCAACATAAGACTGGGACTATCAACCGCGGGATTCTGATGTATATGTTGAAGGGGCAATATGAGCACCTATGGATGTGTCAGGAGTGCTATGAAGATAATCGAACACAACTCAGTTTACACACTAGGGTGTGGACAAAATATTTACAAAGCCCATTTTATCTCAGCTGCTACTTTATCATTCGCTTATAAGTGTATTTTATCTCCTTTAACTCATTCATGCTCAATCAACGCAGTGTGCCATGAACGAGAAATTCTAATTTGCCCAAACAGCTCACTCTGCATCAATTATATATCCCTCATATATACTGATCCACATGGAGACATTCCTATTTGCCTAACAGGATAGAATAAAGCAACAGGACAGAATAAAGAGACCCTACAAAATGTAATCTGAAAGTATATAGTTCATGCCTCTGTGTCATCATCATCATACATCACCTCTGCCGTTAAGCCTGTGGGGAGGAAAAATTTGCGATCCAGTGCATGCTGGCTGCCACTGGCTATTGTCATGCCGTGAAGGCACAGAGTGTCTTTAATGTTGTCGATAAATGTTTTCCGCGACCATTCTCTAGCTCTTGTAGCTGATCTTCTGAGATGACCAACCACCTGATCTGCTGTTTCTCAATGAATATAATACAAGGTGTCGTTCCCACAATGTGTCTGATGGTATTATTATTCACTCGACATGGCTAGGTTGGCTGCTTTTCTCAGGCATCTCATCTCGCAGGTGGTGATTCTGCATATATGGGCTTTAGATAGTGTCCATGTTTAGCACTGGTAGCTTCTGTTTCAATTATAGAATTATCAATAAGCCTAGATATATATTTGCAACGGATTTGGCTTTTTTCTGACGGTAAAAGCAACAGTGCGCAGTACTAGAACCGTTATTATGTATCTTTTCTCAGCCTTACTGTAAAAGACACTATGTGGTGAGTACCGGCACCTTTCTGTCTAGAAAAATCAAAAAGCTCTGACAATATGAAAATGAACAAAAACTATTTCAACAACTTTGCAACAAGCTCTTTTTCAACTTTCAATCAAATAAAAAAGCCAAGCATCTGTTGTAAATTGGTTTAATGTTGCTAGTTACTGTTTCAAAAGTAATAGGCAGTTGCAGTTTAATATAATGTGCATTCGTTAGTTAACGTACCTCTAACAGAATGTTCATAATCTTTGTGTTCTCCGCCCTGAGCGTCGCTATACTGTCTGAAGTAGTACATGACTGATCCCCTTGCAACCGACCGCCGTCTGCTCTGTTGTCGTATCTAGGACTCCATCTTGTCGTTCACATGGCCAGTGTTTTACCGCAAGAGATACAACTTGCATTTAAAAGTGTTTAAAAAACACACTTTATACTTATGAAAGATGCATTACGAATGCAATAAAAATATCACTTGCTTTAAAGAATTTAATTTATTATCTATGAGTAAACTCATAGGGTAAACGAAGTAATTTATTTGTAAGTTTGAAATATGATATTCAAATCCCTAACAGGTCACTCGGTACCATTCATTGGGAGTTGGAAGGGGAGCAGTAGACAATATAGATCTCAGTCATGGAGAAGATTACAGATGTGACTGTTGGACCCTGTGAATGTTCCAAGTATATCAAACCAAAACGAATTCATTACAAACAGGTGAGAAAATTTAATAATGATTTAATTAGGGATTTAATGAACAGCATGATTTGTAGAATGACTTAGTTTCATTACCTAAATTCGAATTCGTAGACGTATGTTTAGAAGGGAGCAAAATTTAAAGTGAAAACAAAGTTTAGGAAAGTCAGGAAACTAAGTAGATAAACAACAGATAGCCTGTAGTTAGCTTTAAATGAATTATTCTTCAAATACGATTTTCTAACACACGCACACACACACACACGCACACACACACAGATCTATATATATATAGCAATAGATGTTTCGTCCTTTTTAGGACGAAAATGTTTGTTATTTGAAGCCCCACCCTGTGGTTTTTGCCAGGGGCCGCAATATAGGCAGGCCATGGATGTGGCCAATTGCCTGAACGCGGTTTCTGGGACCTCTCCACGGTGATCCTCACACCCATGGTGGCACTCTGTGTCATCGGGGTTTGTCGCTTGTGTGATGTCCTGGTGGGGTAGAAAGTCAGTCAGTCAGTTATCCTCCGAATAACCGTCCCACATTATCAAGGCTGAAAATATACCCTAACAGGGCCTCAGTCACATGTAAATTGCGGACTTCCAGCGACCTAAATTGCGAACTTCCTGCGACTACCGCCACCGCTGAGAGTATCTCCTATGCCACTATGCGCAACGTGGAGCGGGGCTAAACTAGGTGGCTGGGACTCTCGAGCTACTACATCTCCTGCAGCTTCCTTCATTTTATTTGCTCGTGAGTCCCAGCCATTTAGTTTTGCCCTGCTCCATGCCGCTATGCGAGGCATGGGAGATACTCTCGGCGGTAGTCAATGGAAGTCCGTAATTTACATTGACAGAGGCCCTGTTAGGGTATATTATCGGCCTCGATAATTTGGGACCGTTATTCGGAGGATAGCCTAATAATATATTTGGAATGCATGGGGCTCTTGACTCATTTTACACCCTGTTCCTTTCATCACAGTGTGTCTAAAAAGGTGCCTGTACTCACCACATTCAAAAGAGCAGCTTTAAAGATGGCTAGGTGGCTGCTGTCCATGTAGCATTCGTATTAACAGTGCAAAGATAAAACAGACTCCTGAACTCAAACAAACTGGGACTATGTCCACTGAAAATATACTTTTTCTTGTTCACCGGCTGTGAGCTGCGGCGGAAAGTCCTGGTTGTTCATCCATTTGGACTTCTGGCTTTGTTCCAGGACCTGAGTTTTGCGTATACATTCGTTTTACTGTGTGCCCTGCCTCTTTGGGGAAAGATGGCGATTCAATCTCTAGGACGACTGTGGCCAATGTTTCATGGGAAATGATGTTGCCTCATTTGTGTGGTATCCTCTTCGGCCCTTTATCTACATGTTGCCCCCAGAGAACCCCATTAGGGCAACCATTGTAGACTGGGCAGCCCTCAAGGGAAGGCAGGGCCAGATGATGGGCATTCCCCGCCTTTCAAGGAGGCTTCCATAAATGCGGAGCTGACACATAGCGCTCTGATTCAGGGCTCCATCAGGACATGCCGCAGGAGTCTTGCATAAGGTTCTGTAAAACCAGCACATAGAAGGCTGGCACCATGGATGAGGTACAGAGTATATCCTTATACAAATCACAAGGGACTTAACTTTCCCTCTCACCTGGGACCAAAATCACAGCGCCACAGAAAATATACTGTTTGACGAGATTATAAAAATAGATGTCAGAAAGGTCGGCAGGCAGTCGATGGGTGGTCAGTATCAAGCTGGCCACTTTTACTTCCTAAAACATCTTCTGGTAACCAGATAGGGTAGGTAGATTAAGGAGCTCAAGTAAGTGTTTTGTAAATCTGTCAAATCAAATACATGACACCTGGGTCAGCAGGCAAGAGACTCTTGCAAATATTGAGGTTAAATACTGACCTATCAGGCTTCAAGAGTTGATACGTTGACTGTTTTCAGAATGGTGTGGAAAAAATATGGGATGCCATGAAGGTACATGACGGGTAAGAATGTTTATTAATTGTAGTCATTTTATAATTAGTTTGAGTTTGTTTTACATGCAGTCTTACTAAAAATGTAGTGTAAGTGTAAAGATAACTGCAGCTCAGTATAAAGCATAAAACAGATGGCTGTTTTAAGGAATAAACTTAGTAAAAGTAAAGGACCCTTATTATGTCAGTGGCACAAAGGGCATTTGATGTTAGACTCATATCTTTATAGACCAATCGACACTCAGCGCCTTTACTTTCCAGGACATTACCGGGTACCCGTTTTAGGCCAGGTGGACCTGTAGCCAAGATATATTGTGAAAATAAATCTGTGTGTGGATTTGAACTCACACCTTCAGGCCAGCCGTCTTTGCGCCCCTTCCTATAATGTGCTTCCATGGCCTGAAAGGAAAGCCAAGAACTGACAGTGCATTTTGTAAGAAGCATGTGAAGAAGATTGGCCTGAGGTTGGCTACATCATCTTGTAGGAAACATTAACTTCACACTCCAGTCACCAATGCTGAACTGAGAGGTGAAAGGCAGAAGAAGAAAAGAAGAGATACAGAACTGAGAAGGAAAGATGACTTTTATAGAAGGTGGTAAAAGAGTATCCTTTACGTACCATATTGCATGCTAATAAGTAAAGAATTAACAACTACAGTATTTTCACACTTTTGCATATAACTGTAGAAAAGGAGCAGTGGAAGATCTATATGTCTGATATGTTCCTGGAAGATCTATATGTCTGATATGTTCCTGGAAGATCTATATGACTGATATATTCCTGGAAGATCTTTACGTCTGATATATTCCTAGAAGATCTATACGTCTGCTATGTTCCTGGAAGATCTATTATGTATGATATGTTCCTGGAAGATCTATAAATCTGATATGTTCCTGGAAGATCCATGTGTCTGATATGTTCCTGGAAGATCCATATGTCTGCTATATTCCTGGAAGATATATATGTCTGCTGTGTTCCTGGAAGATCTAAACTCTATAGTTCTCTCTGGGTTTTTGATTGTCTTCTTCTTCTTAAGCCGTCTGAGCCCTTGAGGTGTACTGATTGCATCAAATATTACCTATCTCCATTCATCTCTGTCTTGGTCTTGAAATGATGAAGTGTCTACAACTCTGTGAAGAAACATGTGTAATATGCCTTTCTGCAGTTGTAAAGCTCCAGTACTAAAATGTGCACCCTGTTGGTTTCTCATCTTAAAGTGAAAAGGAGCTCCTCAATACAGTCCCCATGGAGATAGTATATAGGTACCAGGTCAGAGAAAGAGTCTCTACTCCCTCTCTTAGATAGGTGCAAGATAGGTGCAATCCTATCTTAGGGCTTAGAGGTATCTGTCTTAAAGTATTAACTCTGTTAGGCAACTCACTATTAGGTCATTAGTTACACTTTGTATAGTACACATTTCTGTACTTGTCTGTCCTATTCTTCTTTTATGTTAAAACATCTTGTGTTTATATCATTTTGCTAACCTCTTGTACTTCATTCATTACTATAATGCCTTCTGTGGCAAAGCTGTATGAGTCTGTATGAAAGCATTCGTGCTACAAGACTACAGAATTGTTTCTCTAATTTACAAAAAAAAACCTGACTGAAAAAGCTCAGTCTTCTAGAGAATTCACCTGCCAGACAACCAGTTATCAGTTTCTTTGTTGTTTCACAGAGTGGCATGTCTTTTGTTTAATACAACAAGAAGGGTTTTCATTTTTGTGCGACAGTTCAGACCAGGTCAGTAAATTTATTTTTACATTTCATCTTTTTTTTTTTTTAAATAAATGTATGTGCTGATCAAAGTTATAATTTTGAGAGCATGCCTCTTTCCTGTAGCAACATACAGATGTGAGTCATGGACTATCTCCCAGTCCTTGAGGAAGAAAACAGGCTTGTGAGCTGAAATTCTTCATAAAGATTCACAGAATACCATGGACAAAGAAGAAAAAAAATATGACATTCTAAAAGATCTAAACATCCAAGGAAGATTGGCTAGTAAACAGCATCTTGTCTTGGAAGCTAAATATTTTTGCCATATCAAGCGCCACCACGGGTAGGAAAAAATAATAGCAGAAATAATGATACCAGGAAGGAAGAGCAGGGGCTGATCAACACGAAGATGGGCACAGGACACACATGACTCCTTTAATTTGACAGACAGTGAGCGTGGTGAGAGACCGAGTTTCTTTTAGGCAGAGCGAGGTGAGAGACCATTTCTTTTAGGCAGAGTGAGGTGAGAGATCGAGTTTCTTTTAGACAAAGCGAGGTGAAAGATCGAGTTTCTTTTAGGCAGATTGTGATGAGAGCGACGTTTTGCCAAAGTCCTGCTACCTGATAATTAATTGCTTCATGCTTGGATGCACAAAAAATACAGCATGCAGAGCAATGCTTTACCTCCTTGACCTTCCAACCATGGAAGTGAGAACAGATCTGTCGAGCAAGTGCGTATCTACATATCAGTACTGATATACACCATCCATTGCACAGTGAGATTCGCAGGTTGAAAAGAGGAAAATCCTGGGTGGGTCAGGCTGAGGACATTATTCAACAAGTTTGTTCAATTGAGGACATAGAACCTGGTGAGGAATGGATATGAGTGCCAGCAGAGTTGGGTATATCCTTTTCAAGCAAGGAGGCAAATTTTTTGCTTCTGCCGGACAGTGGCCGATGCATTTTTGCTCCATTTGTAGACTGAATATAGTTTCGTCGCCCAGCTTCTGAGTTGAATGCATGGCGTGACCCTGTAAGCTGCGGATTGCATTTGGAATGTTTTTTCGACTGTGACCAACGTGGTGTGAATTGTAGATTCATAAAATGGCGCGATGCCTGTCGTGCAATGCTGGCGGGGCCCGTATTAAAATTGATCGCGTGGGCAACTGCTGATCTGTTGGCAACAAGTTCTGCTATCATCAATGATGAACTGCATTTCTAATGTTGGACTGTTTGTGTTAGCACTTCGGATGGCTACCATATGCTTTAATGCGAGTGTATGCTAGATATGCTGAGACAGCAGTCTGTCAATCTTTCCACAAGGGACTGTGATAAACATTTTGGGTGTTTTTCGCTGGCACAGGAGCGGAGCAAAGATGGGGCGACCCGTTTGCTATGAAGCTGAAACTAAGACTACCAGACTACCAGATATCCTTTTCAGTTTGCATAAAACTGGGTAGAGATTGCAAACAAGGCCTGTTGGTGGTTAAAGCAAAAGTTCAAACCATAATTCTTGAAAATTCTGCTGATGGAGGTGCAGTTATCTACACTGACAGATCCGTCATTCAACACATACATTTCATCAGCTTTCACGGTTCTGGTTCAAGGGAAAACTGTAAAAGAAGAAAACAGGGGTTTTGTCTCAGCTACAAGTTTGACTATGGAGTTGATGGCACTAACTAAAGCAATGATGTTGCTAGAGACACAGCAGTTTTCCCATGCGTGCTTTCTAAGTGATTCCATGAGCTTGCTTAAAAAGATAGAGACAGGATGCATTCGAAGAAAATGGTTGAAGTCGCTGATGAAATCTCATCTCAAAGGAATAAGTTTCATTTTTGTGCCAGGACATTCTGGGGTAAGAGGGAATGAATGAGCAGACTGCCTTCCTGGCAGGGCCATGGTAGGTACAGGAAAATCAATGGACCGAGCCGACATTCTCAGTGTTCTCAAGGAGGCAGGACACGAAGAGATTCAGGAGATGACCTTGAATCGGCAACACTCAAAAGACTACAAGAACTTCAGGTCAAAAGAGGTGTGGCCAAACATGAACTCAATACAGGTAGTAAAAGTAGTAAACCAACATAGAACAGGTGTTATCAGTCACCATACGCTGGGGGATATATTGAAGATGGGATCTGAGCGCTTATGGACTGGACTTGTACTATATGCAATGATAATAATCGTTTGATTAACTATTAACTATTTGCTTCATGTATTTGCAAGGGCCATAACAGACTAGCCATAACAGTAATCACTCATTAAGAAATATGGATACTATCACTGAATGTCTATGGGGCACAGAAAAACAGTGGATGATAAATAAGACCTCTACAGTTCTGCCCAGGTTTTGAAGTTTGGAGAGGAAGAATTTTATTCCCAAAGGACAATATAACACTTTCATCTGGAAAGATACCAACAAAAACAGTTATCAATACAGTATTACTAGCTTTAAGTGAGTGAATGACTTGGTTCTTCTTCTTCTGTTTTTGCTCTTAAAAGTGATGTTGGCATGCTTTGTGGTTCACAGCTGGGCTATGATATCTCTACCTTTCAGCCTAGCACATCCAGTTTCAGAAAGCCCTTAATTATTCACTTTTTATGACATATTTTTACGGGGAGCAGTTGGTCTATCCCCTCCTCCCCACTAACCCATTCAAAAATGGAGCTCCGGAACCCACACATGAATGACTTAAGAATTGTTTCACTTTGTTTAGTTTTTTCCCCACACATTCTCTGTCCCTTTGCATTCCATCAAAGAGTTTCAATGCTCATGGTGGTAGTGACAACCTGTGTGATAGTCTGCATCCTTACCTCTGCATATTGAGTGATTCAAAACCCTTTACTCACTCTTACTAAATCAGTCTGACTAGTTATGGATACTTTGTTCTGTGGCACTATCCACTTGATCCCAAAGAACCGCCACCATGTTTGCTGTTGTTAAACTTCACAGTGTTTGCTGTTGCCATACTTCACCATGTTTGCTGTTGCTAAACTTCACAGTGTTTGCTGTTGCTAAACTTCACCATGTTTGCTGTTGCCATACTTCACCATGTTTGCTGTTGCTAAACTTCACCATGTTTGCTGTTGCTAAACTTCACAGTGTTTGCTGTTGCTAAACTTCACCATGTTTGCTGTTGCTAAACTTCACAGTGTTTGCTGTTGCTAAACTTCACCATGTTTGCTGTTGCCATACTTCACCATGTTTGCTGTTGCTAAACTTCACCATGTTTGCTGTTGCTAAACTTCACAGTGTTTGCTGTTGCCATACTTCACCATGTTTGCTGTTGCCATACTTCACCATGTTTGCTGTTGCTAAACTTCACCATGTTTGCTGTTGCTAAACTTCACAGTGTTTGCTGTTGCTAAACTTCACAGTGTTTGCTGTTGCTAAACTTCACCGTGTTTGCTGTTGCTAAACTTCACCGTGTTTGCTGTTGCTAAACTTCACAGTGTTTGCTGTTGCTAAACTTCACCATGTTTGCTGTTGCCATACTTCACCATATTTGCTGTTGCTAAACTTCACAGTGTTTGCTGTTGCTAAACTTCACCATGTTTGCTGTTGCCATACTTCACCATGTTTGCTGTTGCTAAACTATCTTTAATGAATCATCCTGAGCTAGTTGCCACACAAAGATCCTCTTTGTTTCCAGCAATTTACATCAACAGTGTGGCTACAGAAGTCAGAGATGGAGTAGAGACAGTTGACACCAACAAGTATCCAGCATCTTTGGGGATGACGATAGAACTCTGCGCTGGGATCATTGATCGGGACGAGCCTCCTCAGAATATTGCTAAAAGTGAAATATCAGAGGAATGTGGTTATGATGTTCCGCTGGAGCATATAAGAAAAGTGACATCTTGCAGGTGAGTGGATTTAGACAGGTACAAACAAAATTTGCTTGCTTATCCTTTACAGGACATTACTTTTCTCCCTAGGGGACATCTGCTTGATCTGTTGCTGGTGTCTTCAGTAAATTTGTCTTTTCCTAACTCATTTGTAGTCCACCCTCTGCTGTTATATTTGCTAAATCATCAGTTTTCCTTTGCTGATTTTACTTAGCAGAACAGTATCATCAGCAAAATCAAGATCTTCCAACTGTGTGTTCTTCATCCAGTCAGTGTTTCCAATACAACATACCCAGTAAATGGTTATGCCAAATAACAGGGGAGATAAAATACATCCCTGTATCACTCCAGTGTCATCTTCAAAGCAATCACTTAAACCATCATCTGTTTGCACTATGCACTCTGAACCTTCATTCATTGTCTTAATATTTTTTTTTCCCATTGGTATACCATAGCATTCCAAAATTCCAGATAGTGATGTTCTGTGTAAAATATCAAAAGCCTTCTTAAAGTCAATGAAATTTATAATAAAGGGGTTGTTGTTTTTCAATAAATTCCTCAAAAATCATTTTTTGAATGAGTATTTGATCAAGCAGCTTATTCTACTTAGAAAACCTGCTTGTTCCTCTCTCAGGATTTTATCCACTACCCATGTAATTCTATTAAGAATTATTGTTAGTAATTCCTCTCCAGTTGTTACAGTCAGTAAAATTATCTTTCTTTGGAATTTTAGCAATCATTCCTTTCTTCCACTGATCTGGGATTTTTTTTCATCTGCCCATATTCTGTTAAACAAATCTTTCCTTCAGTTTATGACTACACCATCTGCCGTCGTGAACATTTCTGCGGTAATATCATCATCTGCCGTTGTGAACATTTCTGCGGTAATATCATCATCTGCTGTCTTGAACATTTCTGCGGTAATATCATCATCTGCTGTCTTGAACATTTCTGCGGTAATATCATCATCTGCCGTCGTGAACATTTCTGCGGTAATATCATCATCTGCTGTCTTGAACATTTCTGCGGTAATATCATCATCTGCCGTCGTGAACATTTCTGCGGTAATATCATCATCTGCTGTCGTGAACATTTCTGCGGTAATATCATCATCTGCCGTCGTGAACATTTCTGCGGTAATATCATCATCTGCTGTCTTGAACATTTCTGCGGTAATATCATCATCTGCTGTCTTGAACATTTCTGCGGTAATATCATCATCTGCCGTCGTGAACATTTCTGCTGTAATATCATCATCTGCTGTCTTGAACATTTCTGCGGTAATATCATCATCTGCTGTCTTGAACATTTCTGCGGTAATATCATCATCTGCTGTCTTGAACATTTCTGCGGTAATATCATCATCTGCTGTCTTGAACATTTCTGCGGTAATATCATCATCTGCTGTCTTATTGTTGTCAAATGGATTGATTGCCTGCCTGATTTTCATGCCATTTATCTGTCCTACATTTATTGGTAATAAGGCCTCTTCATCAAAATTCATTGGTTCTTGTGGACTAGGTATGTTTAATATATCTTGGAAGTTTTCTGCCCATCTCTTTTTCTGCTGAGTATCAGATGTTCGCATTGTACCATCCTGACTTTTAATGGGACCAGCCTGCAGTTTCAAAGTACAAGTTAGCTGTTTTAGCGTATTGCGTAGTATTTTACTGTTTCCACTCTTAGCTGCTTGTTCTCCATCTTCAGCTAATCTTTTAACCTATGCTCTCTTATCTCGCCTTGCACAACTTTGGATTTGTAATCTTTCTTGTAATCTTCTTTAGCCCTGATTTCTTGTTCCACTGTTTTAGCATTGCATATAGCAAGCTTCAGTGCCTTTCTTTGCTTTATACACTGGCTTTTGTCATCACTTATCCAGGGTTTTCTGTCATGTCTCTTTAGTCCAGCACTAATCCTTGCTGCTTCTAAAATTGTGGTCTTTACATCATTCTAGTTTCTTTCAGTACTCTGATCTCCCTCTACTTCAAGTGCTTCAAATCTGTTTTTCAGATTTTATGGATTTATGTATGGTGTTACCTTTCTTAACAATATCCTTACCCTGATTGGTGTATGGTGTTACCTTTCTTAACAATATCCTTACCCTAATTGGTGTATGGTGTTACCTTTCTTAACAATATCCTTACCCTAACTGATGTATGATATTACCTTTCTTAACAACATCCTTACCCTGATTGGTGTATATTACCTTTCTTAACAATATCCTTACCCTGATTAGTGTATGGTGTTACCTTTCTTAACAGTATCCTTACACTGATTAGTGTATGGTGTTACCTTTCTCAACAATATCCTAACTGGCATGGGTCTGCGGGATAAACCTGGCTACTGTTACAGGTGCCCTGATTATTATAACTTCTATGGAGATCAAACAGGGTATCTGGGATCTGCCTTGTTGGTCTGCCATACAGACTGAGATTGTTAAAAACCATTAGGTAGCAGTTCAGTGTGAACAAACTGATTGATTAATACTTTTCTTAATTAATAACTAAGGTATTTATTGCCATGAAGCCTTCCTTAGTCTCTTCCTCTTTGCGATTACTGGCTGTAAACGCCGGCGGAAAGTTGTGGGTGTTTGCCACCTCCACAGTCAAACATTAGTGTTGTGCACATCCGTTTCACACATGTGGCTTATTTGTATACGTACTGTTGGTTACTTACCTCTCAGGCAGAGGTACTCTGACTTTAAAGGATGCCCATAGTTGATTTTCTCCACACTGGGGCCCCAGAATCCACAAAGGGAGGTGCCTCCCATAGTACTGTGGCAAGTAATAACCAATCTCTTCCATGTTACAGTAACCTCCTTCTTGTAGTATGCTTCATGTTCTGTTCCTCTTTTCACTTTCACACAGAAGTGGAGTTGGAACCGCTGGAGGCACACTTCACATCTTCTACGCTGAGGTCACCGATGAGATGAAGGTTGGACCAGGGGGAGGCAATCCACACGAAGGGGAGATGATCGAGGTTGTTGAGATGTCTATAGAGGAGGGGAGGAAACTTATACTTGATGAAACAGTTAACAGAGTGCACGGGTTGTTATTTGCCTTGCTCTGGTTCTTTGAAAATATATCCTACAAGGATTCCTAGGGCTTCTGAATGTGAACGGTACAACAGTCTGCTAATTAACATGGGGAACAGGGTGTTCTTTGTCTGACCGTCTCTTTCACTCATCTATTCTTGCTCTCTTTATCTCTATTTATCTCTTATTCTCTCACTCTCTTTATCTCTCTCTTACTCTTGGCTCATGATTGATTATTATAATTTGTAACTAATTTAGTCAGTAATCTGATTCTGCTGATTAACAACATAGGGAAAAATGAATGTCCTCCCATTCTATCTAACTCTCTGCCACTCTGCCTGTCTTTCTTATGCACACACACACACACACACACACAAATATAAACACATACAGTGGTTTAGTATCGTTTGTAACTGATGAAAACCAATAATCTGATGGCTCTGTATGGTTGCATACTGTTAGGATGTTTTACCATTAACAGGTGAGATTTCCCACTCCCTTCCTCAATACTGTTCCTATACAGATGTCTGTTCTTGTGAACATTTTGCCAAACTCTATCGTAACAAATCAGCCACTACTAGGAAGTCCACCAGAGCACTGACCTCTGTAGATTAACCAGAGCACTGACCTCTGTAGATTAACCAGAGCACTGACATCAGTAGATAAACCAAAACACTGACATCTGTAGATTAATCAGAGCAATGATCTCTGTAGATTAACCAGAGCACTGACATCAGTAGATAAACAAAAACACTGACCCCTGTAGATTAACCAGAGCAGTGACCTCTGTAGATTAACCAGAGCAGTGACCTCTATAGATTAACCAGAATATTGACCTCTGTAGATTAACCAGAGCAGTGACCTCTGTAGATTAACCAGAGCAGTGACCTCTATAGATTAACCAGAATATTGACCTCTGTAGATTAACCAGAGCACTGACCTCTGTAGATTAACCAGAGCAGTGACCTCTATAGATTAACCAGAATATTGACCTCTGTAGATTAACCAGAATATTGACCTCTGTAGATTAACCAGAATATTGACCTCTGTAGATTAACCAGAATATTGACCTCTTGTGTGTAAATGAGTATGAGACTGGTTGGTATTATTTTCTTTCACTGAAATTTCATATGTAACCATTTTAGAATTTATGTTCACATAAAATGATGTTATTCGTTACACATAACTTGTTTCACATTAAATCAGTTTTGTAACAAAGAATATGACTTGCATAGATTTTGTTTGATGAATTGTGACACAAGAACAGTTTACAGGTAGAATTTATGTAAAAAGACTTTTTTCCCCCATGTCATTAAGCATATTGAGCATCGAGACCTAGATCTATTTTTTATAGAATAATCTGCACCCGGCTGATGATGTGGTCAGGATCATGTCAGCCACCTTTACTAACATGTTACCTGGACCCAATTTTAGGCTGGGTTGACCTGGAAGGCAAGATAATTTTTGGAAATGTCAAGCTCAATGCAGATTTGAACCTAAAAACTTCTAACCCGAGGCAAGCAAGAAAGCATGTGGCACAGGCTTATTTCTAGCTGATAGTGTTTGCATCCCAACTTAAATGGTCAAATAGGCTGATGTGGATGCCATCTCATACAATTCTGTGATATGTCAGTCATTCCTTATGATTCTCACAACATAGTAGCTGATTGCCCACCGAGAGCATCACACAAGGCAAGACAATCCATTGGTCTAGCTACAACCACCAGGTATTTACGAAACACCTGCATTTCTGAATCAAAGGATGGCATCGGAAATTGAGCCAACTTCAGAGCATGAGGCAGACAGTTTCAGTACTTCTGCATTCCTGAATCAAAGGATGAATGATATTTTCAGTACTTATGCATTCCTGAATCAAAGGATGGAGTCGGAAATTGAACAAACTTCAGAGCATGAGGCAAATAGTTTCAGTACTTCTCAGAGAGGCTATGTTTGGATTTGTGAACTATGAGAGCGATTTTGGCAGTACTTATAGGCAATCCTTTTAAAACTGATATTTTATTACGAGATTTTGCATAAAATAATTAACCCAGTTAAGGCTTAAAATGGGAGCTCTTTAGGCGGGGCAAGGGGAACTAGCATTTGAAATAAGGACAGGATACATCAGAGTCTATTGTAATGGAATGAGGGCCAACTGTCCTTACTGGTTTTTTATTTTGTTGCTATTATTTACCTCCACAATAGCATACATTCCTGGTAACGTTTGAATAAAGATGTAGAAACTGTCACCACTGTCTGTATTTACCACTTTTTAGGCAGTATAGAAAAAGGGGGGGGGGGGTGGGTGTCATGAGCCTGAGGAATTAGGGTCACATGGCTAGTGGTGTCACCACAGACTATGCAGGTTAAGGATGTTTAATTTTGCTCCTGACAGAAAAACTCGATCACCTTACTGGGGTAAAACTCAGTTCTCCTGCATGAGTGTTCAACATTGCAACCACTCGGCCAGCTGCTGCTCAAATGATAAAAAGGTATTGGGGGGGGGGGGAATAGCTGTCCCTGGAGAGGGCATACACTGAGAAAAACTGAAATAGTACACTGTGTATAACCAGAATTTGCTTGCTTTTGAACTCACCGGGGTGTAAGAAAACTTAGAACTGTGCCCATGTGGATAGCTACCCGATTCATTCATTCATTCAGTAGCATGTCCCTCGCGGAACCTCGCTGCCATAACAACCCTCCGGAAAACCTTCCTATCATGAGCAAGATGTCCTGCGTCTGATACACCCATCTGGAGATCATCTGCCACATCCTGCACCCATCTTCTCCTTGGCCTTCCTCTTCCTCTCTTCCCAGGCATATACCCCTCCATTATTGTTCTCTCTAGACTTCCATGACGTTTCAAGTGACCAAAATATTTCAATTTTCTTTGTTTTATTGTCTTTACTAGCCAACCCTCTTCAATATTCAGCTCTTGAAGTATGGATGCATTTGTTCTTTTCTTTACCCAAGATATTCTTAGAACTTGTCTGTAACATTTATATTCAAATGCATTTATGCGCTGTTCCGCTTGTTTAGTAAGTGTCCAGGTCTCACAGGCGTATGTTGCAATGGGAAAGATGCATGCTCTTAAAAATCTGACCTTTGTAATTCTATCTGTACAATTCCATAATTTATTCAGTTGTTTTAGTCTTTGAAGAGCAATTGATAGTCGCCGTTTAATTTCTTTCATTGTGTCACCATTGTTGGTAACCAGTGACCCAAGATATTCGAAATTTTCCACCACTTCCAATCTTTCCTCATTAACATATATTTCCTTCTCCATGGCAGATTACTGCAATTATGCCACAGACGTGCAGTAGGGAGATACCGGGTCTGGCCAGTTGGCATTCTGGTAACAAACAAGCTGTATGAAACAGTGAAGGGGATGTGTAGCACCACAGCCTTTATAGAAGCTTGTGGCCTTCTAATCATTGGCAAGAAAAGCGAAAAGAAGAAAGGACTCATTGGACAATATAATGTAAAGAAAACTAGACAGATATTAATAATACAGGAATGCTGCATGAGATGGCAAAAGATACAATTAACTGACATGAGCTGTACTCCAACAAAAAATAGTAGACAGAAGAAAACGTGTCTTCATTTATGGAAACAGAGAAAACAATAAAATATAAAAGTTCTGATGACAAATTAATGGAGAGGTGGAACTGATAAGAGACATAAAAAAGGAATATGTAAAAACACTGACCAAACTGAAGTTTAAATGACTAACAAAACACATATTGCAAGGGAAAAGTTAAAGGAAGTTGAACAAGATGCATAAAGCAATATTTATATGTATCAAACAATGGTATAAAAATATAGTTCTAGCCGGACATTCGTTTTCTTTTAGACGGTGCTTCATAATGTCGTGGTGCTGGGTTTAATCACAGCTGCAGTTGAGTTGATTCTGACAGCAGTATCGAGAATCGACCATTCAGAAAGCAATGGCAAACTCCTAAATGTAAATTAGTCTAGAAATATCACAACAGTCCAAAAACGCTGGGGTTGATTCTTCAACGTCCTGAAAAGGATGCACAACTAACCCCCGCCCCCCCCCCCCCCCCCCCCCCCTCCACCACCAAAAATATTTCTGTACACTAGTGAAATTCGGCCTTTGTACCTACTAGGTGAGAATAAGTAGCTGTCACATGCAACACAGTTAGAATTTGCTTGGCTTTGAGTGACAAGACAAAATCACAAGATGCTGTCTGCATCGATTGTAACTTTCTTCTTTATCTTCATCATTCTTCACGCAGTATGTGTGCGATATATACTTGCACTACCTACTATTGCAGATAAGCTCAAAGTTCCGCAAGCAAAGTCATATGTCAGTTGAGTTGAGATGATTCAAAAACCGACATCGCAGAATTCGGGGCATTCCCATAGGCGCTCCGTCCCCATCTTCAGCAGCCAGCTCAGAGTTCCAATACCAATGATGCCAGTAGCATTCTGGTTAAACGTCCGTCTTGCCTCTCCTCTGAGCGTAGAGCATCGGCCAGAATCCCTCGTCACTCCCCGCTGCATCACTCTCGCCAGACTGGTGATCCATTTGCTCTTCCGAATTATACACGCTCTCCCACGCAGCCCTAACCACATTTGCCTTATCATGCACCCGTATCCCACCAAGCTGTGCAGTCATATCTCAGAGTAGCCGCAGATAAGAAGCATCTCCTACATGAAGCCCTAGGTAGAGCTACAGGTCACAGACCTTACATTGGAAGATATTGGATGGCACAAGCTGAAGACACAATTAGACACGTGTGGAGGCTTGATACATTTGAGCGAGAAGAGGAATAGGTCAGTGTCCGAACGAGAATCAGACTTGTGGATGGTTCTTGTCACTTTAAGTCACGAGTGCAGAGACTGACCAGCTGGTGCTGCAGAATCATAAGGTGATGTGATTATCTTTACAGATGGCTCTGTGTTGCGAGGTAGACGAAGTGCATAGGTGTTCATAGCAAAAGTAAATGGACTTCGCTTAGTGCAACAAAACCTGGCTTATGATATCACAACGTCTAGTTTGAGAATAGAGGTGGAGACAGTCACTGCTGCCTTCCGCTGGCTTGCAATTAGCTGCACATACATGCCATGATTGTAACTGACTCACAAGTTGTGGTCTTTTCAGATACCCGACATTAATGTTTGCTGTCCTGGCAATTTGGTCAGGAATAGATTATGTAAGTCAAGCAGGCACGCTACCACAGGGAAAACATGGGCGAAGGACAACCCCTTCCCCCTCCCACCCCTGAAAAAAATATGAGGAGGAGTCTCCCAAGTTCCGGCGTCTATGTAGTCAAGTACTACAAAAGTGTTTTTTATATGTTTACATACTATCCAAACAGGCAGAGGAAAGAGTTTACAGCAGTCAGTTTTAGGAAATAACCAACCAATTAAACATCTAGGATATTTAAACTGTGCAATAAATCGTCATTCCGTTCCTAAAAACTCAACTATAGCCTTTCAATAGAGGCAAGGACGTCTTATTAGCCACCATGACTGCGTAAACTGCGCCGGAAAATTCTGGCTGTTTGTCCACTAATGTACTTTGGTCGTGTTCCAGAACTTGAGGTTTTCTTACACGTCGGCTTTTACAGATCTGGCTCATTTGTATTTAGACTGGTGGTTCCTGGCCTCTCATAGTACTGACATTCTTCTGTTTAGCATTCACCGACTGTAAACTCTGGCTGAAAATTCTGGCTGTTTGCCCACTTCTGAACTTTGATCTTGTTCCAGAACTTAGTTTTGCGTGAATATATACGTTTTAGTTTTACATATCATGCTTATCTGTATGCAGACTGCTGGTTTCTTGTCTCTTAGGCAGATGCACTTTTACTTTAAAGGATACACCCATTATCAGTCGCATTGTACGACGTGCTTGATGGATGGGGGGGGGGGGGGGTCTATACCCCGCCCCAAGATGAGGCCCCAGAACCCACACGAGATGGCTGAAATGATTTCTTTCGATTCCTTCTTCCAAGAAAAAAAGGTTAAAGGTTAAACAGGGAGACAACTCCGTTTGATGACACTTCCTGTTTGGATATGGCGGTATTATTGTATTATTGAGTAACAAGCCCTGTTACTCGACAATCGACATATGTTGTGCACCCTCTGTGTTCATTGTTTTAAAGTTCTTGAAGTCGCAAGGAACGGATGTACTCTTCATACGATGGACAATTTCGACGATTACGTCTCAGATGATGATGATAATGACACAAGGCACCAGTGTCGGCGGGACTGGAGACGGTTGAAAGCCGTGCAGTCGGAACTGGAGGACGTGGAATCTGTGGCACTAGACTCGCTTGTTGCAGCTCAAGATGGGGATGTTAACCCCGAGAATGACACTTTTTCGCGGCTGCAGCTTTTGCATGTGCTTGAGAAAAGGTAATTTTGTAGTCAGCGTAGGTTTCTTTGAATTTCGTAGAGCTCGGAGCTGCATACCTCACCAAGTCACTCACCAAGTACCCAGGGCATCTGGCGGACGTTCAGAAGGAAGATAAACCAAAAGAATGATGAATATGAATAAGAAAATTAAAAGACAATATATTCTTAAGAATGTTTTATTTATTAAGTTTTTACAAAGTACACTTTTTGGCAAGTTTCAGGTACAAGTATTGGGGCTCTCCTTTAAATAACGGTCGCTAGCAGGAAAGCAGACGCTCGCTTAGTCGGAGTGCGCTCCCTTGGCTGCATTGCAAATACGGAGCGTAAAGAGGGAACGAAACAAATGACATACTTACCTGTCATCATACCGTTGCGTAGGGTTAGGGTTAGATGTGACAATTTTGACGCAGGAGTTCCAAATAATGACCGACAATCTGATGCTTGTGGGAGTGGCGCCACTGGAATTCTCCTAAATATGACGGCAATAGCGCGCGGCTGGTGCCCAATTGATGGCGAATTGTCCGTTTAAGTAGCATCCACAGTCCTTCAATTGTTTGGGTGTGTATGTCACTGTGCACGATTATTTGGAACTCCTGCGTCAAAATTTTAACATCTAACCCTAACCCTAACCACGCAAACTTATCGGTCATTAAGGCGTACAGATCTGCAGGAGTCACATCCAAGGCAAATAAGTCGTGCGTCGCAAGAACGTGGTTGCTAATGTGAGTCGGAGCTCGATGTCTAACTGCCATGTTGACCTTGTTTTTGATTCGTGACTTTTCCACTCCGTATTTGCAATGCAGCCAAGGGAGCGCACTTCAACTAAGCGACCATTGGCTTTCCAGCTAGCAACCGTTATTTAAAGGAGAGCCAGTATTGGCAAGCAAAGGACATCTAGAAAACCATAAAAACCCCTTCCAAGAGGTTTGAGGAGTTCCCGAACAAGAAGAGACACCTGGGCTAATGCAGGGACTCTGGCTTATATAAATGAGAGGTTTCAATATAACCATGAAACTAGTAGCAACACTGGATTTCATCTAAGGTAGAGTTAGGTATGACATCTTGATGTATATAATATACCCTTATGGATTTGGAAGTCTATCCTTGGATCATAATAACCTGGATTGCAATGGTCTTGTATGAACGTCAAACTGCTTTTCGTTGGGCCTGAGGTAGAGGAAGGAGCACGCAAAGAAATGCCCTGAGTGCAGTAAAGCCAGTTCTTCATTTATTCCAAATATTCATGTAATTTAAATCATCTTGTTTTGTATTTCATGTTTAGACTGAAAGCAGAGTTACAGTTTATAAGGGAAAAAGATCTGAAGACGTTACCAGAAAATGTGGATCTCCAGTTGTTGATTCTTGAACAGAATCAGGAGAAAAAATTGGACAACTTGAGGGAGACCTTGACATATGCAGAAGCTCTTCAGTCAGAGGTCCTTGAGGACATCAAGCAAGAGGAAGAAACTCACTCATCTTTGAGCATTCTTAATGAAGTATTGAAGGTACATATAACTGTGTGTGTGTATGAATGTAGACAATCCTGTTATAGTCTTAGAATTCCATCTGTATCAAACAGTTAATATCGCAGATAATACAAAGAAGATATTGACAAGATATTGTAAAGGTTTCAGAAGTAAATAAAACCAGACTGAATAAATAAAGAATTGACACACTGCACTCGAGACATGCCTGCATGTGCACCGTCTCCTTCTTCAATAGCCAATGAAGAGTTGACACACTAATATTACCAGCTGCAATCTGATTAAAAGTTCGTCTCTTTTTCCCCCTCAGAGTTGAATATCGTCCAGAACTTCTACTGACACCACTCGTTGAATTAGTCTTTCAGTGTATGGATTTTCTATCTGTTCTCTAGCACTGTCCTTTTGATCCCATGGAGCCTTAACCACATCCACTTTATCATAACGTAACTCACCATCCAGAGGAGTGGCAGCAGCTAATCTGTCAGTCTGCTGGTTACCTAGCACACCTGAATATCCTGGACAGAAAAACCATTTACTCCTGATCCGGGTCTTATCAGTTGATGAAAGCCACTTTGCGCGCAAGTTGCCAGTTTTAATTTTTCAAAGCATGCTCTTTGAGTCTGTTACATTACAACATTTCGGAAAGCTGCAGTTACTGCCTCCAAAAATAGAGGAAGAATTATATGGATTTGTAGAAGACAAGGATACAAACAACTGTGTTTTTGCTGAGATGCACACGATGTTTAGTATATGTAATTCGTGTTGTATGCCAATGGTATATATGAATGTGAAATTTGATCATCAGCTTTGATTGTTCTTCTTTCCCAGAAAAAAGTTGCTGTAGTCAACAGAGCCAATGGAGATGACATTGGGAATACACTGGAGTCAGTACTAGCAGAAATGACCACAAAAGTGAACAAAGTTACAGAAATGAACAAATATTTCAAAGAACAGTTGAAAGAGATTCTTTCTAAACATTTTCCTTTACCTCATCCTACAGAGGCTGGAGGGGCTGCACAAAGAGACATTGACATGAGCAATAGGTTGTCGTTGATGTCAATTGTTGGCAGATTAATAGAACAATCTCTGAACTCGCCTGAGCAGCCATACATTGACATGGACGATAGGTTTTGGCCTCCCCATGTAGAGTTTCTTCTGCGTTGCCAGATTGTGCTTAAAGACCCTAACAACTCGCACAGAATAAAGCTCGTGCCTTTTCATTTATAGCCTGTTTTTTAAAAACTTAAGGTTCTGTTCAGGTTTTTCACTCCATCTCTTGCTGCGTGAGATTTCTTAGGGAATTTCCCGGGACAGTCCTGTGATCTGCCTTCATTTAGCCTGTACACGACTGTCAGCAACTAGTTGCAGACGGTCATGGTTATGTATATACAGCGTGCCGACAAGCGTCTCGGCTTTGTTGGCCAGGTCGATACACTGTCCCCCACACAAAAGTGCACAGGTTTCTTTTCTCTCAGGCGAATGTAAGCAACTGTTTTCTGCGAACGATTGTTCAAGCGTTAGAGTTAGGGTTCCATGCAAGAATACTGGCAGGTCAAGGAAATTTATGGCGAAGGCCAGCACTTTCCCACAGGGCAACAAGGTGAGGGTGACAAAACAAATCAAAGTAACAGACAGTGGAAATTATCACACAATAAATGATAACATTGAAAAGAACCAACACTTGGCACACCTACAATATAGAAGTTTTAGCCTTAGTGTTGAATGAGCAGCATCTTAGACTGGCCCTAAACCTAACCACCATCACACCCTCCCCCAACTTCAGGACTGACCCAGGAAATTTCCTACAAAATCTTGCGCCAAATAAAGTGGAATGAAAAACCTACATAGAACCAAACTTGGAGCCAGATTTGATGCAGCTTTTTGAAATGTATAGTTTGATGTCAGCGCAGAAAGAAACCAAGGCAGTGATAAATCATTAGAAATTGTATACTGTAGTCAGTGAAGGCTGGGGAAAATATAATGGTTCTGATAACTAAATCCCCCTGCGTGTGGGGGGGGGGGGGGAGGATAGACTCACTGTCCCCTTATGTTGTAAAAGTTGAGTAATTAGGGGTGTTTCTTTTAAAGTCGAAGGGCTTCTGCCTGATTTGTGAGGAACCAACAGCTTGCATACAGACGAGTGTGCATGTAGAACTTAAGTTAGGTCAAGGCTGCATGTCCTGTATTTCTAGGCTAATCAGCCTTGGTGGATTAGGCAGTCACTATGATGTCAGCCACCTTGACTTCCCAGAGCATGTCCAGCTAAAATAAAATAAAACAGCAAAATAAAATCTCAACACTTACAAAAATCCACTTTACAGAAAAGTAATATGTAGCCTGTTCTTTTGTATGGATGTGAATACTGGACTAAGTAATGAAATGGTTAAAACACAACAACTGGGAAACAGTACTTGTGTGATATTGTTTAAAATCCTCAAACAATCAGGTGCTGTCTCCACAAAAGGTTGGCTGCAATGGATTTTCAACTTGCTCTGTCGTTCACCCTGGGTGTACAACCAGACAGCTGTTCCATCTCTTGATGTTGTCCTCCAGCTTGTATCGCTGTCTGCCTCTTGCTTGTGTCCCTTCAATTTTTCCCTCCGAGGTGGGTTTTTAAATAAGAGTTTGATGTCTGTTAATATGGCCGAAACATTTCACTTGTCTCCTTTTTTGTTTTCCTTGGCAGCTCTCTTTTCATTCCTATTGTTTAACAAACAATAAACAGATATGAGATTATCATTGGCAGAGAAAGCAAAACAGATTCTAGAGTACTGAAAGCTGCAGGTCTTACAAAGCTATAAAGCAACAGATAAATGTAGATTTGTGTGGCTTGCAAACAGAAGAGGTAAAAAATAGAAACTACACTTGTATGTAAAAATACTTTGCCTGTGAGACACAGGAAGGCAGAATGAGGTATATGGAAAGCTCAGCTCATTAACCTCAGTTTCAAGCAACTTGACTTCCAAGGAACACACTTGACTTCCAAGGAACACACTTGACTTCCAAGGAACACACTTGACTTCCAAGGAACACACTTAACTTCCAAGGAACACACTTGACTTCCAAGGAACACACTTGACTTCCAAGGAACACATGCAGGGGGATCTTTGTTGGGTTCATTATTCCTTTTCTTAACTCTTGATGCTACACCCAGTTGTTACACTGACCCCCTGTTAATTGTTACTTTAACTCCTCTCACACTGTGATTATTTTAGCCTACTCTAGCCCAGACATGTGTTAGTTCAAGTATGAACTTTTGTGAATATGTTTAATTAAATAATACTAGCTTGGTATTGACAGAATTTAACAGCTAGGTCACAAACAATAGTACAATGCAGACTGCTTAAGGTAGTCTTTGATGTGGCGAATTTCTGTTGTGAAAAACACATTTATCCCCAGCAATTTTTTTTCTTAGCTGGATAAAAGGAATTTCTGATAAAAAGAACCATTTCTTGGATACCTGGTGAGGATTTCTTCTTATCAAGTCTGCACTGAGTCAGCAGTAACAACTTCATGAAAAATATCAGATGATAGATATGATTGGATAGGAAATGATAGGGGGTGCCAGCTCCAGATCAGGATATGATTGGATAGCTAATGTAGGGGGTGTCTTCTCCAGGTCAGGATATGATTGGATAGTTAATGATAGGCGGTGTCTGCTCCAGGTCAGGATATGATTGGATAGTTAATGATAGGGGGTGTCTGCTCCAGATCAGGATATGATTGGATAGCTAATGTAGGGGGTGTCTTCTCCAGGTCAAGATATGATTGGATAGTTAATGATAGGGGGTGTCTGCTCCAGGCCAGGATATGATTGGATAATTAATGATAGGGGTGTCTTCTCCAGGTCAGGATGGGATTGGATAGTTAATGATAGGGGGTGTCTGCTCCAGGTCAGGATATGATTGGATAGTTAATGATAGGCGGTGTCTGCTCCAGGTCAGGATATGATTGGATAGTTAATGATAGGGGTGTCTTCTCCAGGTCAGGATGGGATTGGATAGTTAATGATAGGGGGTGTCTGCTCCAGGTCAGGATATGATTGGATAGTTAATGATAGGCGGTGTCTGCTCCAGGTCAGGATATGATTGGATAGTTAATGATAGGGGGTGTCTTCTCCAGGTCAGGATGGGATTTAATAGTTAATGATAGGGGGTGTCTTCTCCAGGTCAAGATATGATTGGATAGTTAATGATAGGGGGTGTCTGCTCCAGGCCAGGATATGATTGGATAGTTAATAATAGGGGGTGTCTTCTCCAGGTCAAGATATGATTGGATAGTTAATGATAGGGGGTGTCTGCTCCAGGCCAGGATATGATTGGATAGTTAATGATAGGGGGTGTCTGCTCCAGGTCAAGATATGATTGGATAGTTAATGATAGGGTGTGTCTGCTCCAGGTCAGATACCTGAAGAAAACATGAATTGTGTAAATAAATGAGTGATAACATGAAAGTGATAATAGGATTAGCTTTGATTGAAGTGTCTAAAATTGTATATTGTGTAAATAAGTAATATGTTGATTTAAGTAATTTCAGTTGATCCAGTGTAAATGTTTACCTCATTGTCTGTATTTATATAAAGTATCCTCAAGCTGTTTAAAAAAAAAAAAAATTTAAATGAGAAATGGAAGAAAAATGAAATGCTTTACAGATGATTTTGACATATGCTTTTTTAAATTTCTGTATACACACGGCACAGTGTGTTTGGGGTTTCTTGAAATTAGACACAGTGATCTTTAACAACTCTTGGAAACCCTTGATTAGATTTGATATTTGCTGCCTCTGTTTACCTCAACATAGTTCTGCCTTTTGCTAATAGGTCAATCAGTCAGATGCCACTGCAACAGGGAAGGTTGACAGTATCAGATCTCAAAACATTTGTCTTCCTGGTCATTCAGGGTATGCAGCTTGTCTGTCTTCATCTCTTAACTCTGATGTTTTCAGAGCTTGGAGAGAATGCCTTATGATGCCATACCCTACAAGACATATACCGAAAGAGGAAAGATATGCAGCTTGTCTGTCTTCATCTTTTAACTGATGTTTTCAGAGCTTGGAGAGAATGCCTTATGATGCCATACCCTACAAGACATATACCGAAAGGTATGCAGCTTGTCTGTCTTCATCTTTTAACTCTGATGTTTTCAGAGCTTGGAGAGAATGCCTTATGATGCCATACCCTACAAGACATATACCGAAAGGTATGCAGCTTGTCTGTCTTTATCTCTTAACTCTGATGTTTTCAAAGCTTGGAGAGAATGCCTTATGATGCCATACCCTACAAGACATATACCGAAAGGTATGCAGCTTGTCTGTCTTCATCTCTTAACTCTGATGTTTTCAAAGCTTGGAGAGAATGCCTTATGATGCCATACCCTACAAGACATATACCGAAAGAGGAAAGGTATGCAGAGCCCATTGTAGGCAAAGGACAAGATGGAAGATAACATCAGAGAAACTCTACAACAATATGATGCTTTTACAGTCAAGGTAACCAGGAGAGCAACAACGCAAACCTTGTATCTCTCTCGACGCTTGAAGCGGTTTAAGAGGAAGTTTGTTTTCATAGGAGTATCTGTATCAGTGTTGACGCAAAAGGCATTCACATATCATCGGTGTTGACGCATAAGGCACGTGATTCTCATTGCAGCTGGTCTGTAGTATACCATTTCACAGGAGTGTCATGTCTATTAATGTGGTTGAAATATTTAACTTGTCTCTTTATTTATTCTTTCAACAATTTGTTCAATAATTCTTTCCAGAAGCTCTGTATTTGATTGTTTTGTTTCCATGAAATACAACATATTCTTCTTTATCAACACCTCTTGGAGCTCATTTTGCCATTCTAAATGTTTTTTTTTATTCTGAGGTTTTTGTGCATTAAAATAGTATTGTTGAATATACATAATATTGGCAGTTCTCATTTTGTATGCATTTATCAATTCTGCTGACATAGTACAGTGTAATAGTTGTTTGTTGGCACCTCATAAATACAGAATAAATAATTTTAGCACACATTCTGTTGCGTCAGACCCGAAAGAGCGATTTGTGTATTAGTATAAATCATTTATATGATGGCGTCATAGGCTAGTGATATAAGCTTGCCTAATGTATGACAGTTTTTATTTCTGTATGTGACTTTCCCCTGTTGGTTCCAGGGCCCTATTTTATGGGAGAAAAGAGGAGGGGGGAACAAAGAATGGAACGGTTGCCCCTAACAGGCATGTTGT